GAAGGCAGAAAAACCCTGAAGAGATTAGAACAACAAATCTTCCGCTGCTACTTCAAAAATGTTGTTTTTCTGGGTCCTTTGATCTCCCATTTACAGATAATTGAATCAATCTACCATTTCTTTATCCTAAGGGGTAAAAGCATTCTAGAGGTGCACTCCCCACCCCTTGAGTCTGTGTAGACTGATTAATACTGGTCTGCGGCAGACTTTCATTAGCATGCATTTAAGATGGGACTCTAGTGGGGAACTAGGGATGATGATACACATGCAGGTAACAGATGATCTGTTAGGGTATTAGTTTGAATACTCTCAATATATTCCACAGCAAGTAAATGAAAAAAAAAAAATACTGCTTAGTGGTGTTCAAGCCACAATATACAATGCTGACAGTCAGATAGATGGAAGTGCTACAGGTAGTGACACTTTCCCCCTCCTCCCTATGTTTTTTTTCCTCTGATATGTGATAAGATTGGATAGCAGCATGGCACAGGATGGATCACTTGAGAGAGCCGTTGGATAGCAGTGCAAACTGCTAAACCTGTGCAACCCATTTGACTTCTGTGAATGTTCTACTTTTAAGCCCTGTAGAGTAAGCCAAATATCTCAAACAGCTGGAAAGAGTGACGTTAAAAACTGCGGGGGAAAACTTGACCTTGCTGGCGAATTTTGCAACATCGATACACTGAACTGAATCCACATTGAACTGACTTGAGCTGACACCATTTTGTTCTTTAGAGTTGCTTAAAGGTGAATTGCATCAAATATAATTGAATTTGACTCATATTTGATGATATATTTTTCCCATTTATTACAGTAAAGCTGTATTGAACATTCTGCATTGTAAAAAGCACTATATCAATTTTATAGTGGGGAAAAGATTCTGATACAGATATAAAGATCTGTACAGTACATTTTCTATATTTTAATGCAACTCCTTTTAATGCAACTCACTGCGCCTCATAATGAGTGAACTAACTAGAATAGGTTAAATGCAGAGGACAAACTCAGACTATGGGTTATCATACTTATCCATCAAATAATCATTACTATCTCAGATATCCTAAAAACATAACGCAATATGTAATAATTTTGTAAATAAACCAACTTGTGTGTATGCAAGCTATCACCAGAGACCACTTTAATGCAAAGAAAACATAAAAAAAACATACAATACATCACACACAATAATGTTTTCTAGCCACCAGAGACAGACCATTTGAACATCACCTCTCTGACAAAGGCTTCTCTCCAGAAGAACAGGCTAATGTTTGTCCAGCACAAGCAATTCAGAAGGGCCTTCCTGATCATGAAGTTTAAATGAAATGCCACACACCCACCTAACCTGTGAATCAGCACCATGAGAATGAGGCTTACATTCAGGAGAAAAGGATTGTGCTTACCATGCATGGCTATGCAATTAGTCACAGCCAATCTTATCCCTGGAGGAACTTCGAGAATAAAATAAACAGTCAAATAGGCAATGCAATTTTTTTGTAATCCACAGCTGTGTGGAGAGATAGACTGAGTTAGAAACAGACAAAATATCTTGTGGCATGTAGAAAGAATCCATCTAATGGCGTTCGAACCAGGTGAGATTTACTGGCAAATGGCAGATAAACAAAAATACATAAGGGAAATCAGGGGGCAACTCTTTTTGAGAGGTCTGCAAACGGATGAAGAAAAAAATACTTGGACAAAAGGTCTGATCAAGCTAACATTCGTGCCAGGACATAGTACAAGGCAACCGTGCTTAAGTGTGAGTACACCCGAAAAATATTCTTAATAAACTTCAGTGTTATCACTTATCTGAGTCTACACCCACTCTTAAATTATAACCATTCATAATTCATCATCTACTAGATAAAAAAAAAAGATTGCTCTCTTCAATGCCATAACCTGTGAAGATAACACAAAGCTAATTGAAGCCCCACAGGCTTGCGCATGAAAGATGCAAATCTATCTGCTGGGCTGGCAATCAGCTCAGAACTGATCTGATATTAAACTAGCATGCCATTAATACTTGCACCTCTTGACCCCTGCCATGCAGCAATCCCTGAAGCATCCCTTTTTATTAATAACAAGAGCAATTTAGGCTCAGCATACTGATCTGCTGTTAAAAACTAGATGAATATGGGATGGCCGCCTGTTCGCCTCTGCCTCTTGACTTATCGAATTGAGGGCTAAAAGCAGCTCTGCATGGGTACATGAAGCCAACTATTTCAGTGCATCACTCTGGGCTTGTTCTCAGGGCTTCAAACGGTTGGCCCAATCAAAGCTACAACCAAATTTTTTCAAACACACCAACTTGACAACTAGAGACTGCCAGTAAATGTCATGCTTGAATGTTGATAAAAACTCAAGTGATCCAGCAGCCTCAGTCATGTTCATTCTTTGAAACTCTTAACACTTACTGCCAATTCCAGATTCATATCATTATTACTTCTAGAGTCCTCAAGAGCATTGGTTTGGAGAGGAGCCCTTCATCTCCTCAAGCATTCCTTGAGTGTTTCCTTCATTGCACGGCTCGTTCAAGCTGTAGAATTCCCTCTATGTTGACATCCCTGTCTGATCTTCAGGCGCTGCACAAGACCTGACTCAGCTCCCTGAAGATTAAACTAAGAAAAAAAAAAATCAGATCCCCGATTTTCTGTTCTTTACTGGAAAGTGACAGTAGACTCAGTGGACTGCACTGCAGCAAAAGCACTTGTGCATTATTAATGCAAATAAAAGGTGCATTATGGATACAACAGCTTTTATCAAAAGCATTCATGATTATAAAGTTGTGTTAAGTTCAGTTAACCAGCCTTTCCAAAGGTCATCTTAAACAACCAGTGAGCGAGTAATGCTATAGGCATGCAATTACGATACAGGAGCGAAATTAATACTAGCTTTAGGGAGATGAGGCGAAAGAAAAGAGCCTGGTCATTTGAAGTCATTAATCTAATGGGATTCTGGGTTCTTCACCGGCTCTATTGAAACATAATCCAAGTCTTGTCCCACTTTCAGAGTTTTTTTTTTTTTTTTTTAACCATAACACCCAAAAAACTCTCAGCAAGAGATCCACCCCAGGCCCAACACTCATTTGCAAATTATCTCAGACATTTATAGCTAATGTTCTTGGGACAGAACCAAACTCATCTTTAACTCACAATTCAATGCTAATTGGGTCATGGACTTGGGGACAGAGCCAAATGAATTACGGGCATGGATGTTTCCTGTTTTAAATAAGGAGAAGAAAAGAGAAGCTCAAAATGTATGATGGCTGTAAAAAAAAATCTTGATTTTACACTTATCACACTACTTGATCTGTGAGTCTTCATAACAATATTTACAACATTGCCTCGGGATGAAGAAAATGATTTTATGCTCATTCATAAAAATGTCTCCAAATTCCTTCTGGGCAAAAAAGGACAAGCCAAGGAGTGTGTTAACTTTGAAAGCTACTTGTATCAAGTATCACTGAATTACTTAAGGTACTGAGATACATTTCATTTGTTATCCAATTTCAACGATTGTTAGACATACTTCATATTTGACATAATTCAATATTTAAATAGCAGAACACACGATCCAACAAGTTAAGTGTTTTTATATATATATATATATATATATATATTAGGGCTGTCAAATGATTAATCGCGATTAATCACATCCAAAATAAAAATTTGCGTTTACATAATATATGAGGATGCACTGTGTATAATTATTTTACATGCTTGTATATATTTAAGAAATATTTTCATGTATACTCCATATAATGCACATTAAGACGGTATATAGATTTATATATAATTAATATTATATATAAAAATATTTTTTTTAAATTCTTAAATATACATGCATGTGTGTGTATTTATGTATATACCATTATACACAGTGCACCCAGCCACCCACATATATTATGTAAACACAAACTTTTATTTTGGATGCAATTAATCACGATTAATCGTTTGACAGCCCTAATTATATATGTGTGTGTGTGTGTGTGTATATATATATATATATATACACACACATATCCATAATTAGGGCTGTGGTCATAATTACATTATTTTTTAAATTAAAACTCTTGATAATATCACTGGACACGTTATGGGTCAACAACCCACAAATATATATTTCTTAACGCAAGATCAGAAAGAAGACGGTCAAAAACATTCAAACATCCTGCCTAACTTACATGCAGACAATTTACAAAAAACAACTACATTCTTTAAATACTACAAATCCAAGAGCATATTCTTCTAACTTTCATCTCGAGTAGCTCGCAATGAATTATCGTTTTAACGAGATTTTCGAAAGAAACACAGCTGTGCACTACAGGCTGACACATGAGATATTCTTCTTGACTAACGTATAAAAGAGAACTGAGCATTGAATGAAGCCCATGCAAAATTCATTACAGCCCAAAACCAGTCTCCATGGCAGAGCTGCTCAGATTTTCCAACGGACTGCGTAAAGGTACCAATGTAGACTCAACCTGCCCATAAAGTCCAACAGAAAAGCATGCATTTAAAAGCAACAAGCATCCCGCTTTGTTTTTGTCCCAGCCCTGTTACGTACTCTGCAACCCAAACTTACACACGCTCACACTGTTATTGCACATTAAGACTGTGAACAGAACAGGACAGCTCTAGGCTGTTTATGTTTAATAACACTAAGTTACTAATTATTTAAACACTTTCTGGGCGTATAGATGGAAATCACTGACTATACAAAACTTCCACTAAACTAGAAAACTACACCGCGGTTCAAACAGTCTCTTCTAGGACTAAACGCAGTTTTTATACAAACAGTAAATATTTGAGAGGGCTGATTGTCATTGTTTTTAAAATAAAGCCGTGTTTGTGCAAGCTAAACGGAGTTTAAAACAAAAACACTGATACGGCGCTTCTCTGATTTTCTTCAGAACGAGGTTAGCGCGGCTAGCCGTAGCATTTCTTCAATTCTGAAGAGCCAAAACTACACTTGTTTGGAAGAAAACATAAAACATGACTCACCGATACAGTTTTCTTATGCAGCTATCCGTAAGCGTTCCTCAAAGGTTTACTAAGTTTAAAAAATGAGAGGTGAACTCAAACTCTTGTTGACAGCATCACTCTCTGAACCGCCATCTTCACTCAGCTATGATGCTGCTGTTGGCTCGAGACGCTCTACCTACCGAAAACTCTGGAACAAACCAAATCAGTCCGCCAGATGGGGGGAAACCTGCTGAAACACACAATTTCGCATGGCATTATCTGAAAGTATTAAAACAAGTGAAGCTTAAGTTTGATGTGTTAAGAACTATTATCTGGAATTTTAGAGTGCTTGGAGCAATATATTCTGGTTAAAACTATTAAAGAAATAAATACTGTGACTTAAAACCCCCGTACTGTAATCAAATTTGAGAGACTTGTTTCCAACAAAGTGCACCTCCGAACAGATTTTTTTCAGGTAGGAGTACAAAGTAAACAAGGACCGGTGTGAGATTATCGTGTATTATCTTGACACATTTGTTTTCAAATACATTCACCCGAACTTTCAATAAAGTGGTTTGAAAACACTGTATTCTACAAGTTTAGACAAGCATCATGTTTGTTTATCAATAAGACAAATCATCAAAGAAAATTTCATTTGGCACTAAAACTACTTAAGTGATTGAATAAGCAAAGCTTTTAAATATCAGCCCATTTATAAAAGAATAGGAATCCCCGATAGACCACAAAATCACAGCAGTGTCAATATTTAACCTTCTAGCGCCCCCAGGCGATTAAAACTCCCTTAGCTGACACTGTATTCATGAAACCAATCGTACCATTATCCATATAAACAAATCAAAAATGTTGTTTTTGTTTGTTTTCTTCAAAACAAAATTCAGCAAGAATGCATTTAATTAAGTTAGAGAAGACATTTATAGTTTTGCAAAAACATTCTATTTCAAATAAATGCTATTCTTCAAAGAATCCTAGAAAAATGTGTTTAGTTTTCACAACAATGTAATTTAAGTAGCACTACTGCCATAATATGAGGTATTATGACTTAAGACTGGAGAAGTGACTGCTTTTCCAGATCCATTTCAGCTTTACTATCACAGGAATTTGAATATTTTAAACGTATTCAATTAGAAACGTAACTTTAAATTCTAATATTTATTTCACAATATTATTGTTTTTACTGTTTTCAAATTAGTAGTTCACTTAAAAAACAAACAAACAAAAAAACAACTTTTGCTCATAATTTACTGTTTTTCTTCAGTAGAAAATAAATTAAGTTTTTTTTTTGATGTTTCAGTGCAAACTGCAAACAGTTCAAATGGCTTTGAACGATTCCAGACGATGAATAAGGGTCTTATCAAGCGAAACGCTCATTAAAAAAAAAAAAAAAAAACTTTCTGTGACGCGAGTTCGTGACTGTCCTGTTCGAACCATAGATTCGAATTCGAACTCATTTATCAAAACGAACGAATCTTTTTCCGAGTCATTTGGTTCATTCAGCGAAAGAAACCCTTATTCATCGTCTGGAATCGTTTAAAGCCCTTTGAACAGTTTGCACGGAAACTGTCTTATGGTCCTTGAACCGTTTGGTTACCAGTAAAGTGCATTATATGGAGAAAAATGCTGGAAAGTTTTCATCAAAAACTTCCTTTCTTTTCTACTGAAGAAAGAATGACATGGACATCTTGGATGACATGGGGGTGAGTAAATTATAAGCAAAAGTTTTCTTAAAGGGACTCTGTGTAGGAAATACCCCCATCTAGTGGTTAAATAGTATTTTGCATTCAAACGAATTTTGCTCTCCAGCGCCTCGCTTTTTCAAGTGCGTATTGCATCTACGGTTGCCGTTATGTACCAAAAATGCTATGACAGGATGTCTTGTAGTAACACTTCATCGAGTTTTTCTCCGGGTGAACAGGTTTGTAACTTAAAAAAAAAAAACAGCAACTTATGTGTTAACTTATGTGTACAATTTATGTGTCTAGCTGTATAAATTAATTTTAATTCTCTGTACAATCTTATCCACATAGCAAAATCACAATTTTAGCTAATTGATCATTTATATATAAAAAAAAAGCTACAGAAAATCTTACAGAGAGCAATATTTTCTTCAATATTTTCTTACAATCATTATCTCTATATTCTTGCTGAATTTATAGGTTATAAAGAATTAACTTACAAACCTTGTTTTTAGCACCTTCCTTCACAATAGCTGCGAGTAAAGTATAGTCAATAGCTGCTATTCATCAAAGACCTTGTTTAACTTTTTTACCTATAAATGTTATACTGTCTATATAATAAAGTACACAACCAAGCAATGACACAAAAATTAAGTCAGACTGTAACATTGACTAACCTGTCGAGGAGAAAGCAGGCAACTTCAGCGTCTCTTCTGAAATCTTTCTGCTGCATTAGCTATTTCCACGGTTGAAAACGCTATCCCGATATTTAAGGCCATTGCACACTGAGTACGAAATTTTCGTATGCGTATTTTCCTGTAGGCCTACGTCAGCCTAAAAATTCGTCACGCATAGAAACCTTGCACACCGAGTCCGTTGCGTATTTATTAAACCTTTGCGGGAAAAAAACGCAAAAATACCAAATGGATTCGTCAAGCAGTGAGGATGATTTTTGCCCTCTCTCATATTGAAAAGAGAAGAAATAGAAAATATCCACCCAATCCTGAAATTGCGCCGAGAGGAAGGAGTTCATTATCAAGAAGTTGCGAATTTATCCTGAGCGATTCAAAATTTACCTCAGAATGTCAGCGGGACAGTTTGATGCTTTGCTAGCGATTCTGGAGCCACATATTAAAAACAAGACCATCAATTTCCGTGAACCAATCGATTCTGAACGGAGACTGGCAGTGTGTCTGGTATGGACCAGGTATGGACACACACAAACACACACACACACCCGCGCGCGGCCCTGTGGAAGCGCTGGGCAGACAGAAAAGCTAGGCTGTTATTGTGTATGTATTGTGTATATTGTGCCCAAATAATACATTAGTTATCGAATAGGCTGCTCAATCACACTTTATTCGATCCTAAATTTCAATCTGATTGAAAGGGGAGGTTTATTAATTTCATAATCCAATATAGAGAAGAGAACATAAACACTTGATCGAATTGAAAACCGAAACTGAAAGCATAATGTTCAATGATTTGAGGACGAGCTCCCCCGGCCCTGAATTGTCAAAAGACCTCTCAAAATGCTGGCTCTGGATGCGAAAAACGCAGAAAATCGAACCATATCCGATTAATTTTATGACGGAAAAATGAATGGCCTTGTTTTTTGCAATCTCCGGTCACGTTTCCTTTTCGTTCAAGTCTGGCCTTTTTTTGCGAGGAGGATGCATTCTCCTGTGACTCGGCATATGGTCCGCAATTACAAATAATAGAGCAAAAGAGCAATCAGCAATCATAGGAGTGCAATGCAGCCGTTTAAACTTGCAGGGAATGCGCCTCTCAATGTGACGTGACGATGGCTCTGAGTCTGAACGAAAACGCGTTGTGGAAACGCGTTTGGCTGGTGGTACTTTTTGACCCTCTCTGCTATTATAGTTTTCAAGATGGCGGAACGGACATGGAAGCCTCCGTGAACCTACCCGTCCCATGTACATAAAGATAATAAATTCTTCATTTACGAGGATAAGTCAGATCATTTGCAGAGGTATTTGTACACCATTGAGGACATATTTATGAATAAAAATATTGATTTCAGATAATAAAATACCTAAAAATCTACACAGAGTCCCTTTAAAAAGTGAACTACTCCTTTAAACCAATAAATGCAGATTTGGTAAACATAAGAACTTCCCAACCTCAAAATTTTGATTGGTACTATTAATAATGGTTAGAACAACAGACACAGATAAACTATTAGTGTTTTGATTTATCTTTATTAAGTAAACTCTACATTTTTAATATTGCTTTGTTCCAATTTAGTTTTTCTCTTTTTCCCCCATTTATTCTAAATGACATCCTCTTGCAATCAAAACAGTATCATATTTATATGTATTTATATAGATTTTTTTGTTTGTTTTTTCCAACCAAGCTACACTTGAAGAATACAAAAATATCACAGTACATTTTCTACGCAGTTACTCTCCACTAGTGAGTTCCAAAGCTGGGGCCAATGCTGGAAACATGGGAATCTGGCAGTGACGTTTATTGACCACTCAATTACGCTAGGCCGAGGGGAGCAGTTAACCTGTTTCAAAATGAGAATAAAACTAGATTTTGTGGTTTGACTAAATCTTGAAAAATGAAATTGCAAGGTCTATTAATGCTATGGGAAATTACTAGTCCAATAGCTGGATTTTGGATATAAAAGAAACCAATTGAAATTAAATTTAAACGGGAAGCCGGAATTGTTTTGGACTTAAGTCACCGCTGACATCTAGAATTAAAGCTGTGTAATCTGGTCCAGCCAGACTTCTCTGTTCCAGCACTCAAGCCACCAACATCTGACCGGAAAAAGGAACTCTCAGATCAGTCAGTAATAACATTCTTCCATTCCTCATCCTGCTCTCTGCAGACACACCATACTATACAAAATATTAAAAACAAAAGATAAAACAAAACACTGAAGAATCCTCACCCGTACTTTGATTATTGTTTCATAATAAATGTCTCTTTTATTCTTTTAACAAAGTTTTGTTTTATTTTCCTCATTTTTTACACTGCCATCCACTATCCAACGTTGAAATCCTTAATGACCGGTGGAGGCTCTGTTCTCCAGGGTAGAGGAATGTTGCAGTATGAGTCTGACATTTAGTGGTTGTTTTTTTTTTTTTTTTCAAACTTGAACCAAACATCAACATAGCAAGTGAAAACCTTAGTCCCCTTATCAACCACCTAAACGAACTCAGGGGATCACAAAACATATTAATCAGTGAATGAAATATGTTAGGACACAGATAAAACATAGATAGCCATTAAGTTACTTGACTGAACACACCAAAAAAGAACAAAAGAAAAAAAAGGTCAGACACAACACTGGGATCAACAACTCGACGACGGAGGGACCCACTGGCTGAAGTAATTCACTTGCCCCAGTATCTCTGAACCACTTTCTCATGACTTCAGGGACTAAATTTTCAGTCATGTGAGTGGGCTTGTACAGGAAGTTGCATGGCTACACTTCCTATCAAGGGGAACTGTGTCTCGGATTGAGCTGTGTCAGTGGTCTTTTTTTTGGCGGGGGGAGGGGTGGTGGTGTATCAGCAGGAGATTGGGTGTCTCGGTCCCCGCTGGTCTCTAGAGTAGTCATGGTGAGAAGGTGGCCATCTCCAACGAGATCCGCTGCCATAATTCTTTTGTCTGTTTGCCCCTCTTCAGGTTCTGCAGCACATCGTTGAACTGCATCATGCCAACTGGTGTCAGGCAAAACGCCCCGCGGGCACTTCGGATGATGTTCACAAAGTCGTCATAGTCTGCGGGAGTCAGATGGATCAGCCTGTGGTGGATATACTGGAACAAAACACAAGTAGAACTTGAAATGAGCAGGGAAGACATGAATCCTGTTCCAAGCTTATTTTATTTTAATAGCATTTTTACATTTAAATTAAATTTCAGTTTAGTTTTGCTTGTTTCCAACAATAGTTTTGTTATAGTTTAGTTTTTCAATTATTCTGAAATGCACTTAGCAAGCCTTATATAATATCATCTGTTTCTAAATGTGAAAGAGTACATGTACATTCGAAATGTAGAAAGCTCCTAAGGGGACATAGTGATGAAAAAATATGAGATGGAAGAAGGAAAAATTATATGTTAATCCTTTTGCATGCACTCACAAAATGTTTGCATTCCCCCAAGAAACTATGAATACATACAAAATATATTTTTATTCTTCAAAGAATCCTGAAAATATGCGTTTGTGGTTCCCCGAAAAGTTGTGTTCTTCTGTCTCAAAAGTTTCTTGGAGGAATGCAAAAGCTGAGAGCAAATCAAAGCACTGAAATAGAATTTTTGCTCCTATCTCATATTTCTTCTTTAACCATGTCCACTTAGGGGACCTGAAGAATCAGGATAACCAGGGAAAAATGACAGGTTTTAAAACCAGCTTGTTAAATTTTGATTGAAACTTCAAGATTTTTTTTCTTTTCCATTGGAATGATATTTGTGAATAAAAGGCGCGTGTAAGAGATGAGAGATGGATGAGAGCAAATTTAAAGGAAAATAACTCCAGATTAATAAATTAATATTGTAATATTATTTCAATGTTTGTTTTAGCTTAAAAGGACGATCAAAAAGTTGCCGTTTTATTATTTCACGAATAGAAAATAGTGTGCAGATTTCCTTTGTTTATACTCATGCATTTTTGCTAGGTGCATTGTTTGTTTTTTCAATGGTGTGTAATGGGCTTTTTCCTAGCAGAAGCATCAAACGATTCTATAAGATGAAATAATTTAAGTTTAAAGTTACATAAATACGAGAATATTTCAATAAATAAACTATATACATAATGCTTCATTTTGAGGGTTTGGAGTTTAGTTTCTAGCTCTAAATGTGTTTGCTTATCTTTCAACATCATTTTATTACAGTCATGCCTTTTTGATCTCCCTGTGTTTAAAGATGTGCGACATGACAAATTCATAAATATTCCCGCTACTGGATGGCACTAACCTGAACCCGTTTTAATAAAATGTAAACAGGTTATGAAGCATCATGTCTCCGGATGTTTATTGGGGCATGCAGCATATGGAGTGCATTTCCCACCAGCGACGTACGAAATGACTCAGTGACAGTCTGGGTAGGTTTCTGCTCGAGTACAGCCTCTCGGTCCCTCATCTCATTCTCCACGCATGGAGAGAGTGGATTAGAGCTGGCATGGTCTCCCTTTCACATTTACCTAACATTCATTTGCAAAGATTTACAGTGGCAGACATATGGTAGTGTCCCTTGAAATGGGCATTTTTAAATATAAGGCCATGAGAGCACAATGGCCACTTACGTCGACAACCACATTGTTTGCCCATGCAACAACCTGAAACCTCTTTGAAATGGCAAAATAAAGACTCTGAGCCAGCTAGCAGGTAACTGCACGAGCGTGTCTGTGTGTGAGAGGGAGAGATAGCATGGGTGCGTTGCTCCTCTAGGAAGCAGCTCTTGGCTTTGGGCTGTCACAGTGTGTTTGATGCTCTCTCATCAGTATGCTCCATCCTGTGAACAGACTCAGGCTTCCCTCTCTAGCTTTAAAACTCCAGAATTGTTCATGCACAATTTATATTCAGTGTGGGCGACAATGCCATCACAATCCAACCTTTGCACCACTCGAATGCTCTAAAACCCTACTTAAATTCTCTACTTGAAACTAGAGACTAAAGCCCTATTCGGACGGGATTAGTATTACCTGGGGACCACGTGTGAATTTGAAATTACCCACCCACATCTGAATTTCATGTGGCGCATTCGCACGGGATAAGCGAAGCCTGTGATTTTACTCGAATTTACTGACTTATCTCGCGGATATGATGTCATTAGGCTATAGCTTTGAAATGTCTTGTCGTTATTATGTCTAGCTGTATAAAGCCTAATAAACAGAAGAATTGTCCTTACCATATGCTGCTAAACATGTCATTCATCTCCATCTAATCATTCTTTTTGTTTTTGCTCTTCTGATGGTTTTCAGCTTTCTCTTTCTGCAAATTGTATACCCGTATTTTCCGCACCGCATTATAAGGCGCACCTTCAATGAATGACCTATTTTAGAACATTTTTCATATAGGGCGCACCGGATTAAGGCGCATAAGATACTGCAGTCAAACGATTGACTGGGTTTGCGTTATGCATCCACTAGATGTTCTAAAGGCTAAAGGGAATGTAGCGAGTGCGCGGCGCCGGAGGTGAGGCGTTTATGTTTATTTAGTAAGTGTGAGCTCGCTGACAGTAACAGCTGGCTGTTTTGAATGAGACAACCCGGTTACTGTGAACGGGGAGCGCTTTATGAACGTTCTGTGACGCGCGAGCAGCGCCGGGGGCAGTGTGGCTGTTCGTGTGCATCTGTTTAGAGTGAGCGCTCGTGAGCGGACACGTTACTTAGGCTACACACATAACCTGATTTATACGAGGTTGAACCGGCCATGTGAAAGAGCGGGCATAAGATGGACACGAGCGCGAGTTCGCGGCCGAATTTAATAACGCAGAGCGTTGTTAACCAATTGATCCATTTATTAGGCGCACTAATGTCGTTTTTTGAGAAAATTAAAGGCTTTTAAGTGCGCCTTATAGTGCGGAAAAAATGACCCGGCCCGCACCCAAAATACTTTCAAAACACTCCCAACTCAGCCTCTATTCTTCACGAAAGAAGGATAAAAGGCGCAGATGAAACAAAAACCTTGAAAGAATGATATACGATCCGGCCAAATCACAGAGATGTCGATTCGCACGGGACTAATATTATCTCAGGACCTCGGTGTTTGGCGAAATATAGTAGGTAATTTGCGGGAGAATTTTTACTTTACAAATTACAGACATGGCCGATTCGCACGGGATTACGATCTCAGACAAACTCCGCAATTATTACAAATTACTACAGGTCACCAGATAATACTAATCCCGTGCAAATAGGGCTTAAGTCTAACTAATATAAAAACGAACTTTGAGATGGTTGTACCACAGTCTATACAAAATGTCAGCTGTAATGGATCAGCTTGTGTTGGAGTGTAATTTTAACCACTTCTGTCAGCGCAAAAATATAAGTTCCTGGATTATCAACATCATCAGGGTACAGACTTCTTTCAAGATTTCAACCTATTAGGGATGTTATTAGTAATAATGTCAGTGTGATTAGTTCCCCAGGCTGAATCTTAGGGATTTGTGAACCTGTACCTGTAAGTAGGCCTGCTGGCAGCGCTGCACGAGCTGGTGGAAGGCAGGAGTGCGGAGGTGTGCGTGGATATGTGCAGGGTTTAACCTCTGCAGAGCCTCCATAATGATCTCCTGCAGGACAAACGGACTAAGAACACCTTTCGCTGCCCCAACACAAAACTGGTACACGTGGTTCACACCTGAGGAGAGAGAAAAGAGGGAGGTGGATAAGGAAACATTCGGAAACTGAATGAATCTCTATTACATTGCATTAAAAAAAAAAAAGAGTTGAATGTCACCATTTACTCACCCTTATGTCATTCCAAACCTGTAAGACTTGCGTTCATCTTCAGAACACAAATTAAGAATTTTTAAATGAAATCAGAAAGATTTCAGTCCATCTATTCTATAGCTACGCAACTACCACTTTGACACTTTAAAAGTTCATAAACAGATCATAAAACTAACCCATTATAGTTGAGTGGTTTAGTTCACATTTTCTGAAGAGACATGATCACTTTATATGCTGAACAGATTAATTTTAAGCATTTATTTACATAAACAGAAGCTCAACGAACCTGCTTTGAATATTTATGTTCGCTGATCAATGTTTATATGTGAACAAAAAAAAAAGTAATAGCGCCTCTTCAGAAAACTTGGACTAAATCGCTCAATTCATATGAATTATTTTTAGCGTCAAAGTGGTAGACTGTGAATCGAGGGACAGAAATCTTCAAAATTTCATAAAAAAATAATTTTCATTTCTGTACAGAAGATGATCAAAATGGGATGACCTTGCAGGTTTGAAACAACATGAGGGTGAGTAAATGACAGAATTTTCATTTTTGGGTGAATTAACCCTTTAAAGTGCCCCTATTATGGGTCGTTCACATATCGCGTCTAAAAACGTGAGGAAGGAGCTCCTTCTTTCCAAAGCGCTTGCACTCCCGTTTACGTCTATTGGTGCTATACAACCATGAACTACGATCTCCACAACTACAAAGTAGTTTCAGTATTGGATTTCCACCAAACGCTTGTTGCAGCTCTGCTACAAGATTATTTAAAGAGAAAAAAAACAATGTAGTGTTTGGGTCTCTCAATGATGTTACAGAAAGGGTGTAGTGCAGCTGATTGATTGGTTTGTCACATGCTGTGCACTTGTGACATTCAGAAAAGTGACATTCAGACAACTGATTCAGATCAGTTCGACGGCTGTTAACAAGAGGTAAAAACTATATAATTACTGTTCGTTTTCTCACACAAACCGCTCGTTTTGTGTCTTAGGCCATCAATGTGTACTTACATTCAAGAGTCATTAAATCATGTTTAATTTTGACTTCTCTGTGCATGCTCTTTGAGGCGGACCCCCATACCTGCATTATATGACTGACAGACAACACCGGTTTGACCGAAATATCAATATTTAAAATACTGTGGAAACAAAGACACCTACATCTTGGAGGCCCTTGAGGTAAGCTAAAACATATCAAAAATTAGTTTCAAAGTGAACTCTCCCTTTAAATTTCATTGCACCTGGTAAAACATGAATGAATGCAGAGAAAGCGGTTGCTCTAATCTAGTCTGCCTCCCTATTTTTAAACTGCAGTAAAAGATCTGATATATTACACTATACAATAAGGTAAGAATTGAGCATGTTCCTCAATTTCTAGAACTCTTTGTTTATAGCTAAACTGATGCCATTGGATGTTCAGTGTCATTATAATAGCTATCAGTCACAGAGAGCTGAACGAAATTAAACTATAGTAATAAAAAATCCTCTGTAAGGACTAATATTCTCCTCACAGAGCGGTAAGATTAAGTGTGTTCCTCAATCTATTTCTAAAGGCCTTATTTATTTATAGCAAGATTGTTTGTCAGTGCGTGTACCATTTCAATTAATGTGCTATATCCTCCCTGTGTTAAAGCCACATTGTGGAACTCTTCAACCTTTTTAATATATTACCAAAACCCATTGAGATGGTACATCGACTTACAATAGGTTGAATGTTGCGTCTGCCGTATCCTGAAGGTGTCTGTATCGCTTCTACTAGCACTTTGTAACTTTGGGTTTCGGGTAGGAACCAGAGCACAAAAAGAACTACAAAATTCGACCGTTTTTACGGCATACGTCACTTCCCCCACCACCCCAAACTTCCTCAGATCCTGACGTTAGTGCTCAACTCGCGTTTGATTGCCGTCTGCATGTTTTCGCCATGACCGAACAACAGCTACAAGGAAGAAGGCAATGGCTTTATCAGAGGAAACTAAAAAAGAAAACGGGAGAGTGACAAATTAAAAGCCAGGACGAGGATTAACATTGGTCCAGCTTTCGCTTCGCTCGCTGGCGTGAGCTAAAAGAGAAAGGGTGCTCGACCGATGCGGACGCTTGCCTGCACACAAATGCCGTTTCCAAGGTAACCCAGATAAATTCATATAATCAGAGTAGTATTTTCTGGTTTTCCGGCCACAGCCGACGGTGTTATGAGCGTAATAAAAAAGTCCCACAGCCCAGTGTTCATTTCTACACACAAACGCAGCCCGCCTCAGTGCAGGGCTTGCACAAATAAAATCGACTCATGTCAAATGTAACATTACATTAAATGTAGTGAACGTGCCCACAACTCAGTAGTACCCACAAACACTACACACCACATGTCCCACGGTTTCTGTAAAAATAAACCAACACACATAACGTTACAGTCAGCTCAGGCCGCTGTCCTGCGCCCACATTCACTCACAGACATGATAAGCCCCACGGGGCTCACCCGACTCACTCTCTCTCAGCAGACTGCTATAAGGGAATCAAGCGCGGCAAGGCTGCTCGCCTAAAACACTGCAAGCATGCACAATCCAAAGACACGGGAGGCTGATCGGTTGACTGTTGACTTTTATTTGCGACATTGCTGCGGAGCTTATGGCCTCTAGGGACGCTAGACGTGAAAGTTACAGGTCGAGCGCCTCTAGTGGCCAAAAGTTCCGCAGTGTGGCTTTAAACAGCTAAATGCTTGCCTCTTTGTGAGAGCTCGTGCAACACTGCTTGTCTTAGTGTGATTTGAAAGGGACTGATTTAAATCTTGATCAAGTAAAGCTTAACACTGAAAACTGTGAATCGACAATGAAGAAACCCTGTTGTATTACGCGTCCAGATAAACTTGCACAGAGAGACAATCTGCCAGGATCACTGTTCCATCAATTGCAGTGCAAAACTGTTGTTTGCTTAAAGTATTCTCACTTAATTACTAGCTAAAACATTCTAAGACTGAACTGAACACACTTACATACTGCTTCCAATGACTGGAGCAGATTTTAAACAGTGACTGTAAAACACCGACTGTAAACACCAACAGTCTCTGACTCAGCACAATTTGGCATGATCAATCGTAAGTATCAAATTACATCCGTAATGGGCCTTACAGTCGCTAAATGGGTCCGTAGCTTTAACTGACTCCTCTGGGTGAACTCTGAACTGCGCATGTGCAGTGTATAGATGCCATATTGTAAACAAACCTTACAGTGTTCCTAAGCTAACCGAAGCAGTTGTGTTTGAAGTAATATCAAGTTATCATTATTTCTAAATGTATATTTTAGATCTAAATCACCTTAGGATGAATTTATTATTTATTTCCTTTATTTTAACCAGGAAAGTCACATTGAGATATTACTATCTCTTCTTCCAGAGAGACCTGGTCAAGACGGCAGCACAAGAAGTTTCATACACAAAATAAGTCTTGAACTTTGAAAGTTTAAGTAAACTTATTCTATCAAACGTTTTCCTGTCACCCTATTAATTTTTATTTTTTAGATTCACACTTAGTTCTGGCATTTAGAGATTTAGCTTTAGCATGTCATTAAAGGGTTAGTTCACCCAAAAATGAAAATGATGTCATTAATGACTCTCATGTCGTTCCAAGCCCGCAAGACCTCCTTTCATCTTAAGGACACAGTTTAAGATATTTTAGATTTAGTCCAAAAGTTTTCTGTCCCTCCATTGAAAATGTATGCATGATATACTGTCCTTGTCCAGAAAGGAAATAAAGACATCAAAGTAGTCCATGTGACAGCAGTGGATTAGTTATAATGTTTTGAAGCCTCCAAAATACATTTTGGTCCAAATTGTTTTTTTTAAACTACAACAAGGGCAGTGTGACTAAATCTGAAATATCTTTTAGATCTTAAACTGTGTTCCGAAGATGAACTGAGGTCTTATGGGCTTGGAACGACATGAGGGTGAGTAATTAATGACATCATTTTCATTTTTGGGTGAACTAATCCTATAAGTATGCTCTGAAGCAGGGGAGTCTTATGAGAAGCCAGGTTATCCCAGTATATTTTCCTGTTTATGAAAAATTGTGTACATTTATGAATATAGCAGGTGAATTATGTATATGATGTATATTACGATATTGATTAACTTTCTCCTTTCTCCACTGACATTAAGTTGTTCAAAGCATTTTTAAGGTAACTGATTTTTAGAGGGCAGACTGAGACCGAGTGGCTCTCTGAGCTGGCGTGAGTGAATTATTATTTTATAGGCATGAAGAAATGTTTTTCACAGGAAAAATGTTTAAATTTGTCATTTTGGTGATCAAAGATCTTTAACAGATAAATGTTCATCATCATAACTTTATCATTTATTTATTTCTATAGTGCTTTACAACAACCGTCAGGTATCCAAAGTGCTTCAACACATTGGCTAAGGTTTGGTCTCAGCTTTGTTGGGGACATGGATCATCTGACAACACATCAACATTGTTGTTGATCAATCTGACAACATTGCTGAGTTGCATGTCAAATTTCATGTTGCAATCAAAACTTGACCGCACTCCATGCATCACAAATACAGTGCTTTTTAAGATTTCAGCATCAGCCATTAAAAAACTAATATCGGTCAACCACTACTTTAATGACTATATTGACAACTTAATTTTTAACGCAGTACTGTGTTTTAAATTGTGCAAACAGATAAGTCCATATGCTTGTTCCAGTCTGGATATTCTCAATAGTATCTCTCAAAATTGGGAAGATCTAGGGGTCGGGAAAAAAAAAAAAAAAATATCAAAAATCGTTTTTCTAAAAAATTTATATTTATAATAACGTAATATTGATGAAAAGCAAAAGACGGAACTCTGAAGCGCGGAAGTGCAGACGGTCCGTCTGTGGACGTGTGGAAATATTTTGGCTTCTATGAAGTTGAAAGGGGAAAGCAGCTGGACAAGAGCCACACTATTTGTAAGCTTTGTAGAATAAAACTAAAATATTTCAGAAACAGGACGAATATGAGAAGCCATATGATAAGTTTCCACGCAGAGGAGGAAAAACACTTGGCTGTACTGGTCGTTATATTATTAATTTACTACAAGTATGCTGCTAGTTCAGGCACACATTTATTTTCCTTTCGGTTCTTTGCAATGTTAATAAAATGCATTGCATGTTAATTCTTTATGGGTCATTACTTTGTACTTTTAAAGCAAAGTATTTATAGTCACACACACACAAAAAGATTCAGATAATCGATAATCGATTTAGCATCGAATCGCAGCCTTCTGAATTGTAATCAAATTGTGAGGTGCCTAGAGATTCCTACCCCTAGGAAGTTTGCTATTCAAATCATAGATTGTGACTGTTTGCTATAAGATCATGATATTACATTTTGGGAAGATCACCCACCCCTACACCTACCACACCAACTGCTGGGAAAAACGGGACTAGCCATAATTCAAGAAACCCAAAAGACAGAAACAACTGGAAACCTATCTGGACATCCAAAGGCAATCAACCAATTAGTATTGTCACGATACCAAAATTATTGTTTTGATACCGATACCAAGAATCGCGATTTCGATACTTTTCCTGAAAAGGAAAGTATTTCTTACAGGGCGTTTCACATGCACCTCCTTTGCATAGGTCTGTGCTATTTAAATGCTGTAACAGCCTAATATAGCCTAAATAAATCACTGACAAACATGCTCATGCTCTGAGTCTTATTATAATCATATAGCCTATTGATCATTTTAGCTGATGTTTGTGCTTTATTTTAGCAGCTTGCAAATTATTTATGCTATCTATGAAAGTTGGGGTGAAAGTTGTACAGCAAATACAAAAATAAATAACACATCTCCAGTTAAATAGCAGATCATTTATTTATTTCGCTATTAAATAAGAGATCTAGCGCTAAAATCTGTTGTTTTTTTAAATCAAGCGGAGCGCTCTTTTTCGCTGCTATCGGTTGCATGGTCTTTTGTGGCTTGCGAACCGTTTTCATTCGGACACTCATTTCATTCTATCACCGTTGCAGAGACTATTGTGTACAGGCCGCCGGATGGTGTATTTATATCATAAGTATAACTATCAGACCGGTCCTCGCGGCCTCGAAACACTACCAGCCCACTGGGAAAAGTCCTGAATCTCTGGATTGCCACTCCGCTACTGAGCGGCGGACCCAGTATCACTTGTGCTCGCGCATGCAGCCGTCTCGCAGTAGTGTTTGTCTCATGACAGCTACAGCTTCTTTGCTGCGTGCGTGAGGAGAAACACAGACGTCCATACGGAGGGACTGGAAACGTGCGTTGCACACACCAACATTAAATATGTCTCTTACAAATCTGGAACGCGGTCATTCATAAAATTATCAATACTAATAAATTTAGGTATCGTGAGGTTTTTCATTTCCAAGTATCGTGATACTTTTGAAGTATCGGTGCATTGCGCAACACTAATCAGCATGGGATAAAGCTCAGAGTAAGAGCAAAGACATCAAGATGTCAATAACTCTGCTGGAGAGTCACCTCTTGTTCGCTGAAGGCAAGGTAAACTGGTAACATATAATTTACAGTCTATTTTAGCTATTAAAGCAGGTAACAGTAAATAAAATGGGATTTTAGAAACCTTGTTTTTCCTAAAAGCCGTATTGCAAAGATAAATGGGCATACCAAGACGTGCAGCAAGGCCCAACAGCCATTTGACGTCCTCTGTGTACGGGGGGCTACGGGAAAAGTTGTTCGGATGATCGTTGTGGGCCCTTCTTCCCAACATCTCCAAGGCCAGCATACCTAAATAAGGACAGGAACATTTTGCCATCAACACTCTGTACTGCACGACACTGTACTGATCAAGTATTAAATTGACACATGCACCCAAACATCCTAATCTCCAGGACTTATGAGTACTGATAGAACGGAAATCATGCCTTAATTAATATTTCTCACTGTGAGAGTTCTTTGTGAGTCCTTCAACATGGACACAACCGACCTCTCCCTCACCTCTCTTGATAATTAATCACCACAATTCAGGACCAGATGGATCCTAATGGGTGCAAAACAGCAACATAAGGACAGGCAAGCCATGCCCTAATGGATCTATGTGATTAGAAATCAGGCGTCCTCACCGACTCTGTAGGCCGAGTGGAGGTAGTGCAGGCCCTGCTGGCTGATTGGTTGACTGTGCTGCTCGTCTTCCACAGGGAATGGCGCACTGACCAGCGAGGCCGGCTGGGACGAGAGTCCTGGAAGAGAAGTCCCCTGAATGGCCTGGATGGTGGCGCCTGAGTGTACTCCTGCTGGACAAAAAAATGGGAAAGGATGTTCAGGGGTGTCTATGGATTTGCAAACTGTCCAATGCCTTCCCAACAATTTCTGATAAACTGGTAAGAACTGTAATGAACCTATTTCTACACCGAGTTTATGGTGCACTAAATAAATATGCTTAAACTAAATAACTCAACTATGGTCTATGCTTTCAAGATGGTACCATTCAGTTGTTTTACTATTTTTTCGTATACAATCAGTTTCACCAGGGAGGACACACTACCCAATCTTCTACAGGTTTTTGATTATTCAGACATTTTGCTGAATATTGTAGTTTGAGGAGCACCAGCGCCGCCCAAGCACTCTAGGACCCACAAGCAAGAGCTGTTAATCTAGTTAAACTCAGACATCGCAGCTTTAGAACCACACATCTGGCACTTCTCTCCTGAATCAAATAAGGACTTTTCAAACTCTGCAGCTCTGTGTTTCACAGAAATGTGGCTGAATGGAGCAATTCTGTTTTCCTCTTTCATCCTCATAAATGTTTACATTCCATTGCAAGCGCATGTGAGTGCAGCGGTGCAAAAGCTGTCTGATCAGATCACAGAGCAGTAACACCCAGACTCTCTTATTATTAATCTTGGTGACTTTAATCAAGCAACCCTCACCCATTAACTGCAAAAATACAGATAAAACATGACATGCCCTACCAGAGAAAAAAATATTTTGGACCACTGCTACACCACAATAAATGATGCATATAGTTCCATCCCTAGAGCAGGACTCTCGATCTCGGTCTGGTTCATCTTATACCAACCAACCAGGCAGAAACTGAAATCAGCTAAACCTATAATAAGGAAAAAACAGAGCCTGCTTCAACTGCACTGATTGGACTATTTTTGAAGCTACTGCCATGGATTGGGAAAACTCACAGATTATGTCCAAAACCATTCCTGTGAGGATATGTGCATTCCTACCAAGACTTATTTAACGTACAACAACGACAAACCATGGTTCTCAGCGAAACTCAGACAGACAGCTGTGCCAGGCCTAAGTTGATGCCTACATGAATGGGGAAAACAATCTTGTACAAGCAGGCCAAAAACAATCAAACCAACACAATTACAAAAGAGAATAGAGTGGTTAAAAGGAGACATAACAATCTACAAGACAACACCATCCCCCAATTCCAGGGGCGGACTGGACATGTGTGTGATATGGAGAATCACAGAATGGCCGGTACTCCAGGACGGCCAGCGGGTCGGCCCACCACTTGCCACACACACAGTCACAGACATCCAAAGTATCCCGTAAGTTCCGGGAGTCTCCCGCATATTGATAGCGGCTCCATGATGCCTGCAAATTAGTTAAAATCTCCCGGAATCTAAAGTGAGTAAGAGTGCGCATGCATAGCATGTGCACGGCAGAAAAAGTGAGCGAGCTAGAGACCTTGCATGTATAGGCTAGTGAAGCGCATGTAAGGACCCAACCAATCAATTGTCAGCGCGGGCGTGCTTTTGTCTCTACTACTCCCGAACTGAACTAATAATTACTTTGCAAGTTACTTGCTAGGGATGATGTTAGGAAATGATATTCAGCTTGCTATATTTTTAATGATTACAATAGTTAAAACAGCTAAACTTCAACATTTTAGCTGTAAAATGCCACATGCACATTTGTAATGGTATAGCCTATTTTCATTTAGATGTGGTATTATTTGTGCAGTAGCTAAGATTAATTACTGCATAAATTAAGTAATTAAGCTTATTAAGTAATAAATTAATTTTAAGCTTGGAACAGATTGTATAATATGCTGTTAGCTATCATTTGGATGGTACGGTATCATTTAAAGTCTTGTAGTGACACTATTGTTGTCGAGTTTCCATGCGCCGATTGCTTTGGGCCGGGCCTAGTCAAAGTCCAGGGCCATTTTTAGTCCCAGTCCATCCCTGCCTAATTCCGTAGGGAATCAACAACCTCAATTTCTACTGGTCATTTGAAAATCAAAGTCTCACACCCCAGACCCATTATGACAGTCTCGCTGTACAACAATCAACACCTCCAGTAACTCCACTCTCCCCCTTCTGCACTTCAGATTAGTGAAGAGGATGCGTGTCAGGTCGGGAAACAGAAGACAAGGAAAGCACCAGCCTATGCTGTTCAGTTGGCCTTCGTCATCTCGCAAATTTTCAACAGATCACTTGAGAAAGTCCCTTCCTGCTTCAAAAGCTCCACCATCATCCCATTCCCCAAAAAAACTAAAACAAATTCACTACAGACCTGTCACATCTAGCAAACAGGTCAGTGGATGATGTGGTCAACATGGGACTGCATCACATCCTGCAAGGATCCCGTTTGTGGACCTCAATCTCGGCCTTCAACACCATCGTCCCAGCAGTCCTTCACTAAGTTAACCCAGCTCTCTGTTCCTAGCTCTAATTGTCAGTGGATCACCAGCTTTCTAACAGATAGGCATCAGCTAGTGAGGCTGGGGAAATCCACATCCAACACCTGCACAATCAGCACACAGGCTGTACTTCCTTCACCAGCTAGTTCAACCTGCCACAGCTGATGCAGTTTAACTCAGCCGTCATTGAGTCTGTCCACTGCACTTCCATAACTGTCAGGTTTGGCCCTCAGCTTCCAGAAGATGTACTCATAGATATTAAATCTGACGAAAGTAGAGTTCATTTGAAGAGCTCTTTTCCAAAACGCTATAAATCCATTTCAATAGTTTTCAGGAAAACTACATTTTTTACCTAGACCCACACATTTTGTGAATATTCAAATTATCCTGTTTAAATGTTTTATTGGTTCAGTCTGAACATTTTGAACAATAATTATTAAATCAAACAACAATATTGTTAATGATAATTTAAAAGTTAATTTTATTTTTTTCCAAAACGCTATAAATCGAAATAAACCTCAAACAAATAGTACCAATTTCAACATATGCATGAAAAAAACAAATTATTAATACCAATTTCAACATATGCATGAAAAAAACGAATTATTAAAAATGATCAATATATGATAACGATATTCAAAAAAGGGATGGGCACCCCTCCAGCACATGCACACACACACACACACAGGCTACATAACATGTGAGCAAAGCAGAGCAGCATGACGCTTAAATATAAGTTAAAAAAAAAACAAAATAAACATTTCACATTTGTTTTTAATAATATTACATTACTTATTTTTATTATTTCATCTATGTTGAGTAGGCTATGAAAAGGGAACCGCATGAGATGAGTAAGATAGGATCAAAATTCAAAAGCTGCCCAATATCGGAAAATATTTGGAGTGCGTCAGACATGATTTTGACCACTTATTAAGTTTTGTTTTGTAGAAAGCTTGTAAATTTCGTTTCATATAAATTGTATCTTCATTTTAATAAATGTTTCATCGACAAATTGACTGGATTAATACATTAGAAGTAAATATCAGACAATATAATCAGGACACAGAGGCGCGCAGGTGAACCGGAGCGCGTCTCATAATATGAACCGAAACACCGCGATGCTTGCCTCACACAGGCCTGAGAACTAAGCTACAGAAAGCTTTAAATATCTACTTTTAAACAAAACAATTAAAAACTAAAATAAATTGGCAACTCTCTGCGTATGTAGGCTAATTCGAAGTATGCGTTTCTCTATGCGCGTTCACTGCGAAGATGGCGAGTAAGCATCATCAACTTTATCTTTGTTGCTGACACTGACAGAAAACACTAGTTTATTAATAAACAATTCAAATGTTTCATGCATAATCATTACTTTTGCCGGTTCTTTGTGGCAAGCTTTATGCATACGTTGAGATGCGGAATATGCAATTAAAAACGCTCATATGGTTTCTCTCCCATTTAATTAAATCAATATATGTGATTACTGATAATACAAATGGCTTAAATGATCTACTACTAGTCGACTAGAAAACTAGGACTCATTTTGAGGAATGAATGAACATAATAAACCTCTGTTCAGAGTGCCGCCGTGCTGGATTGTGTAGAGCGCTCATTGAATTTGAGGATTTATCGTGTTTAGGCTAAAAACAGGGCTGGCGCTTATCGTGGTTTGGAAAGAAACTGTATCTTGCAGTACATTTTAAACAAGGAAATATAGCGATTCGGCATGAAACGTTGATAGAGCAGTGAAAGGGTTCTGTCCACAGCAGAATGACACGACAAACTCATTTTTTTTTTAAATGTCGTTTAACGCGTTTTGGAAAAGAGCTCTTCATTTCTTGAAAATTGCTGTATATTGTAAAACTGCATTTATTCAGAATTATTTTAAATAACATTGGACATTATGCCAAAAGTTGTGTTCATGTTAAGATGGAATTGAAATTCTACAACCAACTTGTCCTTACCTGTCACAGTTGTGCTAAGAGGCAGGGCTGCCTCTGCAGTATGGTATGGGTGGACAGCGATCTGAGTCATGGACGGTACTGGAACGCCAGGGAAAGTGACAGCGGTCGCTGCCATAGGAGGATGAGGGCCAGTGGCCACAGAAAATGGGTACTGAGCACCAATAAAAGCAGGGTGCATTCCCTGAGAAGACAAACAGATGCTCTTAAAACCAGCTTGATACGCCTTCCTCGAGTCATATACCTGCCATTGAAAAATTAAAACCACAAAATTAAATTAAACCAAGGGCATAGCTGTAAAGATCATTTTACATGTATAAACAAACTGGTATGAGTCTTTCCAATTATATTCTGCCAGGAATGTCATGCATCCGCATTAGAGCTTAAATTTAGCATTAATTACCGTTAGTTAAATGCAGACAAATAATGCTACATATTGAAATAAAAATCAATCTGTAGTATTAACACAGGTAATTGAAACCCATAATCATTTCAATAGGAAATGAACAGCGCTCATACCTGTGGGTAGGCTGTCCCAGACACGGGGAAGACCGCAGGACGGGGGACATGCTGAAGCGGGTGACCCAGGTACTGCGGGGTGCAGACGGTGGGCAGATGGGTTTGGATGGTGGTGTAGGGATGCAGACCTGCCGTGTGTGCCATGGCTGAGCCCGGCAGCCCATGTGACTGGTATATGGTGGAGCCGACGGAAATGACAGGTACGACGGCGGCTGCCGTCACTGTGGTAGTAACAGCCGAGACACCTGATGAATCCAAGACCCCGTTGTTATCCAGGATTCCGCAGCCTCCCTCGGGTGCCGTTCTCCTTGCTCCACCGTTGGCCCCGCAGCGGCCGGAACCCTCTCGTTGGGCCCCTGAACCACCACCCACTGTTTGCTCGTACAGCCAATACCACTGGTGAGCCACCTCGAACAAGACCTCAGGATATACGCCGCCTCCCTTTGCAGCCTCCTCAACAGCCATGCAAGCTTTCTCCAGCATCACATTATCCTGAAGAAAGAACAATGCAGAAAAGTGTTGTTTAAAAGCAACAAGCAGATTATTTTTATAACATTAGGACTAAATGTGGTCTGTGCTGGACAATACCTGCTCCTTGCACTGCACTAGAGCTCTCTGAATCTCGTTGGGGTTCAGGGCATGAGCGTGAGGCAGGCAGCTCAAGGCCAGCTCTGCCGCAGCGCGCACCATGTTGGGATCACGTGCTCGTGATGCACGGTCAGCAAGTGACGCCACCTCTGGAGGAGTAAGGTGCCCATCCCAGCATTCCACCAGAATGTTGAGGGCAGCACTCCCAATCTCCATGGCCTGGCCTGTGCAAACACGACAGAAGAATTCAAAATCAAACAAAAGGCAGATTTGCCAACCCATTTGTTAGAATACTCTTGTATTAACTAACTTCATACCCATCCATATCTATCTACTTATTAGCGTTGCACAATTAATTGTTAAAAAGATCACAATCTGAATTCAAACGATAGAGCTGTGTTTGATTCATCGCTACAACGATGTAGTGTCATGACATGGTACTTGGCGATACGAGTATCAATACAGTTGCTTCTGTATCGATTCCACAGTATATCTGCTGTGGAATGTGTGCCTGTGAGCTACAGGGTAGAAAGCACATTACAGACTGCTTTCATTTTGCAGAGAGTTTGTTAATTAGTGCAATGATAACCTATTAGCAACATAATGATGATTTTATTAAAATATTAGAATGAGTAGGCTATATTACAATATAAATTTATTACAACAAGTACATTTTTATTTGTGCGTATCAGAATATTGAACATTTTTAACATAAATCTATATTAACTATATTGTTATATAGTGCTAGATAGGCCCTTCAAAACGCAGAGGGCAACAGCCTATAGTTTTCAATGGCCCTATAGTATGCAGTTTACTAAACAGCTGTTATACAAAATTCTACGTGAAAGTATTGTGATGTATATCATAACATGGCCTCTATTGTTATATGCATGGCATTGTGACTGTTGCTGATACACAGCCCTATCAAACACATGAACTTATTCCTAAATGACAATAATACGCCTGTGTCTATTAAACCTTTGACAAAATCACACCAGAATATTCAAATCTGAATTGGTGCTGCCACTGACCCAGAGAGATTAGATGTCATGCATTGGCATGAAACAGCTTCACAAACATCCATCCATCCATATCTACCTACCTAACTATATCCATCAATCCATACATGAGCCTGGAAGATTAATATACTCTAGTATAGTACTACAGTTCTCCACATTGAATTGATACTCTAAAGCCAAGGATATGAATTTTAAAGATTACATACGCATTTCAAGTGGATAACATTATTATCTCTCACAATTACACAATTATCTCTCACCTGTAATCCAGGATACATGGGAGGAATACGTCCTTGACAGCCAGTTAGGAGACACAAAATTATGGAGGCCGAGGGCATACAGGCCAATCTCAAAGGCACACAGATGCAGGTTGCGGTGAGGCCCCTGGTGGCCTCCACTGGCAGAGGGTTGAGTGAAAATGGAGGTGGAGCTGTTTCCTCCAGCTTTAATCAGCACAGTCTTGGCCAGCTCAAAGTAAAAATGGGCAGCTGCCTCAGATGGCTGGTTGGGCACGTGCGGAGCATGACATTCAGGCCGCCGGCCTTTATACCTATAAAGAGAGAAAGAGCGAGTGTGTGTCATAAACAGCAGATTTAGAGAATCAGAGAATCTGTTCTGATTTTGAACTGAAACAACTTTACTCAATGAACAGGTACAGAAGTAAAGATTTAGTTTGTTAAGATGCTGATGGACAAGCACCAAAAACCAAGAGCAAACCCACATAAGGGGCAATGAGGGCAAAAAGACAGGTTTGTCTCACCTGCTGGTGTCGGTACTCTTGGCTCTGGCTCCTCCACCAGCTCTGCGTGAGCCACTGGATGACGATGAGCCGAGTGAATCAGATGAAGAGCTGCTAATGCTATCACTGTCCTGACCTCTCCCCCAGGAAGCAGCTGTCCAACCCCCTCGAAGTGGGCGTCGACTGAGAGTAGGAGAGCTGTCTGAGGTGGTCTCTGGAGCGCTGCTGTCAATGCTTGCCATGCCTGAGAAAACATGTCAGAAACCTTTTTACACTCTCAAAATTAATGCATAGTTAAAATAATCCATTTAATTATTTTATGCAAATTAATATTATATTATATTTGCAAATATACAATTTTTTACAAATAATATATTATTAAATAACTTTTTTTAAAGTGGGTGAATTGAACTTTGCAGTGATCTGTGCACATAATTTTTATGTCACGAGAGGTCATAGGTGCTGCATCAAATAAACTCTTCTGTCTAATTAACAAACACACTGTTTCCTACCAGTGTGTTTCTTTTTCTGTCGTACAGGTGATCCCCAGCAGCGTGTGCCGTATGCCCCGCGGCCCCCCAGTGCCAGACGACTGGGCACTGTGCCTTCCGGCTTGAAGGGTGCAGCTTCGCTCTGCTGCTCACAGGAGGTCGACTGCGCACCCTCTGCAAAGAACGAAAGAGGGTTAAAACATTTTTTTTTTTAAACTAGGTCACTTCAAACTCCACAGGGACCCAAGACGATTATATTTAAGCAATGAATTTCCTTCTGAAATTGAAGTGTATACCCATGACACTTTCTAGATGTAAGTTCACCTTGATCTCTGTTGTCAGAGATGCCCTCTCCCGTTGCTGTGCTCTGAACTCCGCCAGCCGCTAAACCTCCCTGCTGCCCTGCCGCTCCCCCGCCGGTCACGCCCTGCACAGCAGCTGATGTTGCTGAAGGGGTGTGTTTTGACACTCCACCCGCAGCTCCGCTGGCACCATGGGTGGCGTGTTTGGATGGGCTCTTTTGGCTGCTGGTAGCTGGTTTGCTAGAGTAAAATGAGCTCAGAGTCTGAGGCTTATGGGTCTGGCTCTCACGGTCAAGGAGTTTATCCAGAATCTACAGAAAGATGAAATCAGAAATTAATACAAAACATTTACTGTATTTCACAAATGATATCTTGGCTTAAGCTTCATTACAGAAATGTTATTTGAGAGACTAAGGCCTTGTTTACACCTGGTATTAAGATGCGTTTTGGTTGATTGGATCACAAACTTGTCCACTTTCAACCACTTCTAGAGGTTGTCAAAAATGCATTTGACCAGATTGCTTTCGTATGTGATGTCGTCAGATGTGTTCGAACAGCCACAAAACACAGCCTAATCTCTACCTACTGACTTAAGGCGTAGTGCTTTCATATAGCCTATAACACGCTCTCACACATTTATTTTTTAGCATTGTTGGGAGGAATAAAATTTACATCGGATCGGATTTCTGGAGGGCAGTTACACCTGGTCTTTACACGATCGGATAGCTAATACGATCACAGAAAGTGCAAGTGGGCAGGTGTAAACAGCCCCATATAGAGCATTATGAGTTTTGCGGAAAAAGATGAAGTTTTACTTGCATTAATTCATTTCTGATTGTATTTGAATACTAATGTCTGGTTAAAGTTATGCAGGCTATCAAAATAATCACAATTGAAACTTTACTATGCCACCACAGACACAATTAAACAACTTATCAAACGAAACTGTTTTAGAAGACCATCAAAGCAATTAAACAGTATGAATGAAATGGAGGCATTTATATAGTGCTTTCATATGTACTACTTTACACCCAAAGCGCTTTACAATGATGTTGGGGTTTCTCCTCAACAACCACCAGTGTGCAGCATCAACTTACTATGCCACCACAGACACATTTATACATCTTATCAAACGAAACTATTTTAAAAGACCAAAACAATTAAACAGTAGTAGCCTATATACTTAAAACAAACTCGATAGCTGTTGGCATTTATTCAATGCCTATGAGCACTGATAAATCAATGGCTGTGTAATCATTCAATTATACCACACGACAAAATGTACAAACTATTAAGCATACATTATTTAAAAGGAAGCTGAAACACAAATTACGTTATTGAAAACAGTTTCTGTGATCCATGGAGCATGCACTAATATTTACAGTGGCGTTTTAACACGAATCACGGATCACAGTCAGATCATATACGGGCTAGAGCAAGCGTGTTTTTATGTACATATTTCATATACTCTAATGCTCTAAACATGAACCAGCATTGTGTATGCACATATATTTAATCACATCTTCTTCAAATGAAATATATGTGTAAATAATGTATTTATTCACTGTTATCCACATTATATTTCATCAGCAATATAATTTTGAACTTTTGTAATGATACGTTTGGTCATTGATCTTTAAATGCATCATTATGCAAATTACAAACACATGAGGAGAGTTCTCAGCATGAGAACCCACAGACCCATGACTGGCAGATCAATATACTACTACATTTCTCTGAAATGGTAGGAAATAATTCAATAGAATGTGGAGGATTTGAACTGTGACAAGATGATTGACAGGGGAGTTTAAACGGTGACAGGATAACTCCAAAAGACTTGCCTTTTTAAGCTTGCTTTGGTCATCTTTATAGGTGATCATCAGTGCTAGAGCCAAGTCTCCTTTTTCTCTCCGTGTGCCTTCACACAGCAGAGGATGCTCTGCCTCACTGACCGTTGTCTTCATACCTGATGGGGAAAAAAAGTTAAAGAAAAGGAGAGACAACTGAAGAATATCTTCTACAAAACTGGTTGGTTTTGTATTTTTTTTTTTCACATAAATTGACTCTCACCAAGAGCTGCAACAGCAGCCTCAAATCCCAGCTCCTCATCACCAGGCATTTCATTGTTACGGTTCCGGCTAGGAGGTCGAGAGCCCGTGGGAGAGACCACTGCAAGAGGCAAGTGATAGGAAAAAAATATGAAAAATGAGCATGGGGATTTTGGGGCGTTTAAAGAGCATTTTTAAAACTGTTGGAGAAGGTCGATGTGTGACTTACCAGGGGTGCAGAGCACGTCAAATATGAAGCTTGCCAGCATGAGAGGCAGCACCGGACGATAGTCGCAGAAGTTTCCATCCCGGAGCTGTTCTGCTCTGTCCCTTATGGAAGTCATTTCTACAAGACCCAGAGGAATCTTCTTCAGGAGAGCCACTACCTCTGACTCCTGATATGCCAGCTTCACCTTACACAAGAGCATAGGAGTTTAGAATTTTAGGACAAAAAAACTCTTTGAAAATCAAGAATCAAAACATTACAATGCATATTTTGTTTGTGGTTTGTTATATTGTGTGTTAATAAAAGTGCTCAAATCTCTGCATTTTGCGTACACCAAATTTGCCATGTTAAATTATTTTCCTTAGCATTATTTTTTACATTTATGCATGAATACATAAATTGTAATATAAAACATGTATACTTTTATACCACTAAAATACAATAAAGTTAGAATAAAATAAAAACTGACATTACACTTCCAAATATCAACAAAACCAGACACATCCCTAACAAACTATACTGCCTTGCAGATCATCAAATTTATGAGACTGACATCTGCTTTACCTCCAGAGCTTTAGTAGAAGCAGGAGGTCTCTGCAGCTCCAGGGAAAACATGCCAGTGTTGAAGGCCAGGTTATGGAGCTCCAGCCTCTCACTCAACACAGTCAGCAGAAAGGCTACTTTAGACAGGGTGTTAGTGGCCACCTGCGTCTGTTTACTGGTCGACACCTTGCTCTTTTTACCCTAAACAAGACAAGGAGATATCCATTTTCAAAGGTGAGCACCGTTATGATTGTATGTCACAGCCAAAACCTGTGGGAATTTAAAAAAAAAACTATTTCGGTACCTTGGTCTGTGGCTGCTCCACCTTCAGGTCGGGCGGATTAGCCAGAAGATCTCGAGCAAGTTCAACAGCCAGTCGGCAAGCATCATTACTGTAGCCGTGAGCATAGAGAGCCTCAGCACAGGCAAACAGTACCTGCAACACACCATTATACATTTGAAAATCTTTTAAAGTTCTGTGCAATTAAATTAAAAAATTTAATTTGTGGTCAAGCCAAGAAGCTATTTTGCAACATTTTCATTATATAATTATAAAACGGACAGTTCCAGTTCTTGATTATGATTGGCTGTGTTGCCTTTAGAGCCATTGTGAAATACTCTAAAATCATCAGTGTTGTGCCTGAACATGTTCAATGAATAGTTAATGAACGCGTTCATATTTTGGGCGAATGTGAACTGAACGTACTGTATTTCTGCCTGATGCACGTTACCGTGAACGCGTTCATTCTGAAGTCTGTGAACGCACGCTCTCTCCGTTTAACTTTGTACAATAGACCATTTTGCAAGATGTAAACAACACTGGTCCAGAAACACTTCCTGTTTCAGTTTGTAACTGTTTTCTTTATTTCACATGTAGAGAAAACATCTTAGAGGTGTTTAACTTTTTGATTCAGTTTTATATGTTCTGTTGGTTGTTTTTTATCCCAGCTTTTATGTATTGTTAAAAAACTGAAACAGGAAGTGCTTCTGGACCAGTGTTGTTTACATCTTGCAAAATGGTCTATAGGGTGCCAGATTTCTATATAGCCTTCCAGGTGAAACCCCGACTAAAACACACGTAAATAGGCCTCAATATGTAGCAAAAAAACAAAGCAGGGACCGAGGAGGCGCCGTATGATTATTTAAACGGATTTAAACGGAAAAATCTTACATTTCTGTGCAAACTTTGCCCGTCGATAAAATAATTGTTGTCTGTGGTTGTATATGGGCTGTGGCAATAATTTAAAAAAAAAAGCTCGCAACATATGGAAAAAAAGAACTATGAATGAACTAGTTCATTTTTTGAAGTATGAACTGAACTAGTTCATTTTAAAATGTGTGAACTGAACTTTGAACTAGTTCATGTAGAAATTGAACTTTCCCAACACTAATAATCATACATGTGTGACCTCATTAAATCAGTATTACTGCAGCAGCATTGCATTCGTGTGTTCCATGGCAACCATTCTACTAAATGCTGCTGAAAAACTACATTGCTTGATGGAAGGATTATTATTTATTAATAAATTATTAATTGTTTTTTCTTACCGTTTAAAAAAAAATTGTATTAAACCATGCCACTTTTGTGCATGTGTATATATTCACACAACTCAGCCCAAAAAAAGTCACTGTTTGGGTTTAAAACACCAAATGCTTAAGAGTCTATGTTTGCATTATTGTTGCAAGTGATTATTGAGTTTCTAGCATGTTGTATGTGTGGCAACAGTTATTCTAACCCTAATTGATGGAGTGTTTTAATTTCTGTAGGCCATATTCCAGGATTAATACACAATGAGTCTGACAACAGCTGGTATGATCTGATCTCACCATCAGGGAATCTGTATGTGATTACATGAATAAACAGAAAAAAATGAAGCAGACTAAACCTCGGAAGAACGGCAGTAACATCTCCAAGATGCATGAAGAAACCTACCCACAAAGCTACAATACTGTGAAAAGTTTTAGACGTGTGTAAAAATACTGTAAAGTTAGGATGCTTTCTAAAATAATGGCATAAAGAGATTTTATTTATCAATTAACTTCTAAGCTAATCAAATCAATATTTGGTGTGACCACCCTTTGCGTTTAAAACAGCTTTTGTCTTAGCTACACTTGCATGTAGTTTAAGGTAGCTTTGTAGGTAGGGTACCTCAAGCATCTTGGTGATGTTGCTGCAGTTCATCTGGTCTCATTTTTTTTTCCTGTTTCTTCATGTAATCACAGACAGACTCAATGGTGGTGAGATCAGATCATACCGGCTGTTGTAAGACTCCTTGTGCATAAAAAAATCTCACTGATTTATTACAATAATGGCAAAACTAAATTTTGAACAGAAGCTTTTTTTAACAGAAGCTATTATAAGATGCACGGTCTCTTTTAGCTCGTTCTGTGTTAATTTTCAACGCTACTTTTAAGCACTGCTTCAGTACTTTACAGGGGGGGGAAATTCACCTCCATCCTGCCCTCCTGTTCCAGAGGTTTGATCCCAGCAAAGATGTCTGGCTCTTCCTCATGGTTGCCGTCTGCAACCCCTCGATCCGCTCCCTCTTCTGAGGCAGCGCTGAGATAGTAGGCTTGATAGTCATCTTCACCCACAGCATCAGCTCCTGCTGCTGCCTCAGCCGCCTGAGGTCCTGGAGCCCCTGAAGCTCCACTTCCATCTCCCTCTCTGCGGCCCCGCAGAGCCTGGCTGGGGAGCGCCGCACACGGCAGAGCATCATCTACAGGGTCCTCATCTCCTCCGGCTTCATCCAGGTCTGCCTCCACCTCCACCTCTTTCTCCATAGCTGCCACTACTGAGGTTGCAATGGAGCTCTCCTTTGAAAAGCAGACATGGGCATCAGCAGCAGAGGGCATGGCAGCATGTGCCACATGTTTGGTCTCAAAAGCACGCTCTTTTGAAACGCCACCGCTGGTGTATTTGAGTGGCTCACGGAGCAAGGGGCTGGGTGAAGGCAACATCTCGGGAGGAGGAGGAAGGAAATCGAAGGTGTTGCAGGCCTCTGCCCCGAGCGCCAGGCTGGAGCCATCATCCAGACTCAGCTCTGCCATGTCAGGTTCTAGAGAGCTGTCCTCACTGCTGGTTCGCCGCTTTGCACCAGGGTGTTTCCCACTGACACCACTTGAACTTCCACAGCCCTTGTTGCTCTGCGTTAGCTTGGCCTTACTACCAGCTGATGGAGAGGAGCTGTTGGCTTTATACATGCCTTTACCTCCCTCCTGAAGTGAAAGAGAGACCCTGCCACCCAGACAAACCAGAACGCCTCCGCTGTTCACACCAGACACTCCTTTCCTCTTGCTCACAATGGTCTCCTTAGGGCGGACAGCCACCTCCTGCTGGGGAAGATGTGAGTTACTCCTAGACTTGTGCTCAGAGGAAGAAGCTTCTGAGGTTCCACCACGAGTACCATCTCCTGATTCCCCACCAGTCCCAGCTTTAATGCCCCGTTGTTGCTGCATTGCCCTGGCCCAACAAAAGGAAGCATTTTTCTTATCTGCGCTGCAATAGGTGATGCCAGGTAAAGGGTAGGCCACTTCCCAGTTGAAGTAGCAGCATTCAACAGCTGGTTTAAAGCCCTGGAAGAGTTTGTCCAGAGACTTGCGGTGCTGCCCTCGTTTCACGATCTCGATTACCTTCAGGTGCCACTGCTTCAGCTGGGCGGCAAGCTCCAAGCGTCTGAGGAGTCGCAAAAGGTGAAAAACATTACCTTAACTAATTTATGAAAGATACAGCCACAAATCATTGAGAAATTCTAGATCAACATCACAACAAATGAGGATCACTAGTACTTTAGAGCTTAACTAGCTATACAAAACTGCTCACCTCTGGGGACTCATGGTAGGGTCTAACACTGCCAGTCTCCATAAGACAACCATCTCATCACACATACTGGCACATGCATGTGCAGCGACCTCGGTCTGCCCATTACTGCGACCTGTGTGCCCGCTGGCACTGCTGTGAGAGGCGGATGTCCTCACACTGTACCACCAACCAATGATCTTGGGGAAGAACAAAAAGAGTTTCATTAGAATAAAAACAATTATTATTTAAGTGTTGAGTTTAAAATGCATCTTGAATCCAATTAATATAGTCAACTACATATTTAATTTCCTTCTGAAATAAAATAAAATGGTTTGAATGCAGGCACAAGTGTTGACAAGTGTTTTCAACAGGACGATGCAATTTTTTACACTTGAAACAGTCACCCTGAGGTGTGAAGTGTGGCCGAGTACCTGTTCATGGGTGAGACACTGTTCGGTGAGTATCTCTAACAGGGGTGCAGCATTGCTGTCTCTCCGCTTAAACATCTCTCTGACAATGGACAGAAGATTCCAGATGCCCTCTGGTTCTCTACCTCGCAGGGGCCTCAGGAGACAAGCCCATTCAGCAGCTGCTGGAGGCTCGGTGGAGGACAGGTACATGGAGTTCACATCACTAAGAACAAGGGACCAAAAAAAGAGTTTTAACTTTTCTAGTTTTAAAAAAAATTAGTCTTTGTCTTTCATTAATGGACTGATTGAAACTTTAGAAACATGTGCATCATTTTAAAATTATTGGTTGATGTGAATATGGGTGTGTCAACTGGTGTGGGTATATAAGCTTGGATAAAGTATGATTCTTTGCAGTGCAATCATTGAGTGAAGCCTGCTCCGACCTCCATTCATTCATAGTTTTAAATACATAAATATAGTCTTGAGATCATACACTAGCTTGTGTATCCTTTATCCACACATATAAAATAAAAAAAATGTCTGAAAAAAAAGTACCACCAAAACCCATGTATGCCTGTTTGGGAAACACTGGTTTAGAACACAGATGACAACAGTAAACTGTGCTACACTGTAGGTAGTACCAGGCTGGTTGCCTTTACCTAAACACAACTGGTGAGGGACCACAGAACTTGTGCAAGGTCTTCTTTATGTTGTCACTTAGGGTGGACTCATCTAGATACCAGGTGCTCTGGTCAGACGCTGAAGGGCCAGCAGTAGGATCTGTTAAACCCATCGTTAGAAAAGAAAAATGAGGATTTACAAGGTCTGCATATCTTCAGATAAAATTAAACATTTAGAAATTCATGAATTGTGGTTTGTAGGTCAATGCATACCCGGGGCTCCACACACGGTGTTAATAGCGGTAGACTGGGAAGAAAGAAGCTCATCCAAAAGACGCTGAGCTGTCGGCAAGATCTGCAGATACAAAAGAGCGAATCACTATTAAGCCAGAAATTAATTTAAACATCAGATGAGAAATTATCTGATAAAAGTTTTTTATTAATGTTTAAGCAAGTAACAAGTATAATATACAAGTAACAATATTAGATTATGATGGCATAATACATAGTATAAAACAATACAACATTAGCATGTAAATACTGTACCAAGTATTTACAGAACCACATCGAATTCATGAACACAGAAGCGGAACAATGATAAACCGAACTGTGATTAATCTGAGCAGTCACAGCCCAATATGGACAATGAGGCCACTGTGTGCACTTCATCACAGCTATTTAGAGCTGTGCAAATACAATTTAATTCTCAGAGAAACCACGGGCAAGCAGACCATGTCAATTTAAAAAGAACAAATAAAAAAAAAACTGCATGCCTCACCTGCTGTGGGAGTTCACTGATGAGGTATTGTGCAAACTTCTGGAGTTGATCCCGTTGTAACCTGGACAGGGACTCTGACACAGGTGCTCGAAGACACACAGCAGAAGCCTATACCCAAACACAAGTCACTGATATTTGAAGCTGGCAGACATAACTGAAATTAAGCTCCAGTGATTTAATCTACTCACTAGTGCTAACTAAACCGTGAGCAGGCTGCTCATTAGCAAACACTCTGCATTTCTAATGAATCTGGAGGCTTTGATGCCTTCAGGTGGATGTCCCAGTGTGCCGTCACCTGGTTCATCCCTTCTGCTCGTGGTGGACACACACATGCTGGAGAACCCCTCATTTGCAATTGGACCATACATAATATATGAGCTGCAGATAGACATGCTTTGAGCCGATCAGAGCTAATTCTCTCTTTAGCTCATAGTGAGATTATTAAAGAGAATGCAGAGTGTCCCGTGGGGGAAGCATTGTGAACTACTGGAGTGAAATGTGTTGGTTGTGTCTGGGAGATGGAGGATGGGGAGAGAGGAGGATGGATGAAGGACAGACTTGGAGAACTAAACCGAGGAGGATAGGGAGGACGGAAACGTTTAGGATTCCTGGACAACACGCCCCTGAATGACTGAGTGCTGGATAAGCCATGTGGCTGAGAGTCTAACTATGGGAGACCACATTCTACCATACATAATATCAGACTGACCCTTTTGCAGACATTTCACACAAAATGTATTCTAACTTAAGGGGTTTTCAATCATCTTGATTCCAAAGATCCTCATTATGGATATCTTTTTTTTTTTTTTGAGGGAGCCCCATCCCTCCTACAATCTAAAATGTATATATATATATATATTATTCATTAAAACCTATTTATTAAGTGTGAGAAAGACGCTTAAGTTTTAATAGCTCAAATTAACCTAAACATAAGGCCTTTTTAATGCCTTCCTGTAGCTCAAACAGTAGATCATGGCACTAGTAACTCAAGCACTATGGGTTTAAATCCCAGGTAATGCATGAATTTAAAAAATAATGTATAGCTTAAATGCAATTTAAGTTACTTTGGATAAATGCACCTGCCAAATGGATAAATGTAAATAAAAGGCACCTTTGTGTTGTTTTTTATTGTTATTAAATAGTTTACCCCAAAAAAAAAAGTTTATCATTTACTCACTCTTATGTTGTTCCAAACCTGTATGAGTTGCATGCTTCAGTTGAACTATAAAGTAGATATTTTGTAGAATGTTGGTAACCAACATTGACAGTAACTATTGACTACCATAGTATTTTTGGCAAACGTCAACTGTCTGTTAGCAACAACCTTAAAAATATATTCTTTTGTCTTTAGCAGAAGAAAGGTACTCACTCATACAGGTGTGTATACAATATAAGGTGAATAAATGACAGATTTTTCAATTTTGGGTGAACTATCCTTTTAAAACACACACACACACACACACACACACACACACACACACACACACACACACACACACATATATATATATATATATATATACTGTATATATATATATATATATATATATATATATATATATATATATATATAAAATACAGTAGTCAACATTTGAAGTGGATCAAAACCTTTCAAAGTTGAACATGAATTTTGAACAATACCCGTTTTGACAACTTTGATAAACTTTTTTGATTCACTTGATTGTGTGTGTGTGTGTGTGTGTGTGTGTGTATATATATATATATATATATATATATATATATATATATATATATATATAAAGATTTTAATAAAGTATTAGTAAATGCAGAAAGTAACATGAACAATGGTTAATAAATGCTAGATTAATACCATTAAAGATTAATAAGTGCAGTTAATTATTAGTTCATGCTAACTAATGTAGTTAACAAAGGAACCTTATTGTAAAGTGTAACCCATTAAATAATTATAAATATTCATATATAAAGCATTTCTTCATTTTATTGTATTTGTGCGACAATAAATAGTGACTATAAACAGCTGTACAGAAAGACAAAGGTAATAAACAATTTCAAATTTGGTGAATGTATTCTGTTAACCTTTTTTTCAGGGACCTATCACCTCCTCTGCAGATCTCAATGTCTTTTAATGTTTTCAAATCAGGTCAGTTGAAATGTTTTTTTTAATCCTAGTAGCAACCAGCATAATATTTAGTGTGGTGAGGAGTATTAATGCAATTTGAGCTATGAGGACAGTCTGACATCTAACTACATGTGGGAAAAAAACACATTAGCCCACTCAAATAGTTAAAGGGCACAGCGATGATGCAGAATGAAGTTTATCACTGGTGCATGCCCGTCTAGCTTCTCTATGTACAATATCATAATCCAGTAGTATCAATGACTGTTTGAGTCTGTATCTTTCTAGGTTGTCATGTTCTGTTTAGGATTTAGACATTTCTAGAATTTCTGCAGGAATGCTTTACTTTGTTATACTTTGTGACAATCTTTGAGATACTGTCGAGTAGGTGGGCTAAATGTCAAGCCTGAAGCATTTGAACTTCAGGCTGCAAGCTGTGATGTGAGAAAGTGATCGGTAACCTCATCTGACACCGGCCTCAACACGCAAATGAAGGGGTTCTGCAGCAATATATCAAATCTTAAGTGTCAATGATTTACTAAAATTCCTGTGTGGCTGATAAATGTTCTCATATCATAGCAGAACTAAGAATATACTGTTTATTCAACTCACAATAGCATAATAGACTCTAAAGCTGTTTGAAACTCACAGGAATGCACTTTACAACATGATGGTAAATGCATTCAATTAAAACATTCTCAAAGCTTTTTGCCAAGAAACGTTTTAAAATAAGAGACACGACCCTACAAAAATGGGGAAGCGTCATGTTGCAAACACTACCTAAAGTTTAATTCTCCTCCACTTTTCCAAAATTACAATATTAAATTACTTAAATTAAATTAATTATCTAGCAATAGCTATAAGAAACTAAACAGGGGAACTGTGTATTTGATATGTACAAGAAAACCAAACCACGAGAAAAGCTTATGCAAAATAAGTTTGTTATAATTTCCCCCAACGGCAGAAAACAAAAGACAAAGCCCACATGCAAATGCTAAACGCCACCCACGGCCCGGGCCGCCAGGTCTATCTGACTGTGGCAGGCCCTCCTAAGGGGGCTGAGATATCACAGCAGAGCAGATCCTTCCCTCCACCCTCCTGACTCCACAGGGAGGCATCAAACCTAATCAAAAGCTTCTCAGTGCTCTCACGCCCACGGTCACTCCGCACAGACAGAAACCTAGAGAAAGTTTGTGCATGTGCTGTACGTGAAATCTTCCTCACAGATACGTCTATCTGAAGCAGGCCATTGTGCGTATTCAAATTCCTGTGTATGTGTCATTTTGAGAGACAATAAGAACTGTTGCCTTAAGTAGTTGTTTTCTTTAAATGCATTCTTCAAACCTTAAGAGACAATCTAAACTATGCTACATATGGAGATGCAGTGTTGGTTCATAAACACACATTAAAATACATACTTTTCTCTTTTCTCTTTTAAGCTCCGTATTTCACCCTAGATCAAATTCCAGCCTATAAAAAGGTTATCTCAGTAATTGCACTTTACTACTTAATAAAAAGAAATATGGAAAACTAATATTGTTTCTTTGATCACCCTTGCTGTGGGTTTTGCAAATATTTAACTAATGAAAATTTTAAAAAAGAGCTTGAGACTAAACCTCATAACTCTATTGGATCCTCAAAACTGTTGGTCAAACTCCACCCGCCTCTGTCGCAATAAAATGCTGCATGCCGTTTTCTCTGCTTGTTTGCAAAGGGAAATAAAGGACTGGCTCTTTTGTAGAAGTATGACATTTTCTTTATTCAAGAAATTAGTTATTATATAATAACTGTTATTATAATATCTACCTATCTATCTATCCTTTATTTAGGATGTGATCAATCACAATAAATCGTTGCACAGCCCTAATATATTGGTGTCTGACCATATATAAAGCCACAATATCAACTCTGACAATGCAGTGCTTATTAAAAAAATAATAATAATAATTTTATTGTTTTTTTCCTTAAAATTTGCATTTTTGGAGAAACAAGCTTTCCACCCAACAGTGACAATATACGGTATATTACTTTTTAGATTTACTGAAAATGACATTTAACATATATATGTGCTTTGATAAGTGCTTTTAAAAATTAACTTTGAGTGAGCATTAGCATTATCGATGTGTAAAAATAAAGCATGCACAATTAAATATCCAATTTAAAAAAAAAAAAAAACTATCTTACAATAAATGATACAGATATACTATGTATCCCAAGTGTGAGGACAATGTGTGCATCTACAAACTCTTACATTGTGAATTCTGAAGAGGCAGAGGGCCACAACGTGGGCACACCATTTGGCTCCTGCTCCACAGGTGCAGCTGCAGGAAGTGATCCGGCAGCGGTCAAACATTACAGCCACATTATAGGCTCCTTTTGATTGGCCGGCCTGGGGCGACACTACTGTGGCACTGAGGTGGAAACCTGTTTAAAGGAAAAAAAAGCATGTCAGTCTTTGGTAACACATTTCAACACAAAACTAGCTCAAATGACCCCATCAAGCCACATTGAGAAATTTCATGTACAAATTTATATGTCGGTTGAATAACTCAGAGAATTATATTATTGTGGCTTTGACCAATATCAAATTTAGCACTACACGGTATGCGTCCAAGTTATGGAAGCATTGGTATAGTTGTCTCCTTTGAAGTTGCTTTTTACACACACATATATATATATATATATATATATATATTGTATTATATTGTGTGTACTGTCTTATTTGTCTGTCTTTTTTATCTGGACCAGTGAGTCTGTAATAAAGTTTATTATTATTATTTAATTCTCCTCACACTCTGGATAAAAATGCCCTTATTATTGGGGAGTTTATGTTTGGAAAATACTGTTTAATATGAAAACTTGTGCTTTGTTTTTAGAGGGGCTATTCTGAAAGCATCATATTTGCACCTGATGCCAGGAAGTATTAAAGAAATTGGGAAACATTAATGTTTAAAAGGCTGAGGGAGTTTGGTGACTGTAAGACTGAATGATAAAACAGCAATTAAACTGTAACTCAGACCATACAGGAAATGAAAGACATCTGAGATGGAAAGAGATAAAGAAAGAGTCCAAATGTGTGCGTGGAGAGTCGAGTGCAGGGGGGTCGGTTGAAAGCTTTTACCACTGGACAGCGGCCAGCGCTCCTCTGGCCAGTAAGAGCAGAGGTGGGGGTAGTGGGTGGTTTCAGCTTATAGCTCCAGTTCCAAATTCAACAGGCCTCCTCAAGCCAACTCTACTACACTGACTCTTTTTTTTTTCTTTCAGTCTACCTGTCGGTGCCAAAAGTACCCCTCTACTCCTTTATTCCTGACCCACATTATCCTTTCAGCTGTCCCTGATAAAAAACAAAGCCCCAAAGGTTTCATAAAAAAACTTTAAAACTTTGTCTTTAGTTACACATCATTAAAAAATAGAATGCTAGTATTAGTGATGTTGTTACAGTCATGGTAATCTTAATCTCCGCTTAAATTGATAATTTACCTCACATGAACCACAAATTAAGTGATTGAATGGGTTCATCAGACTCATATCCGAGCGGGCAATGCAGAAATGTTTGTTGAATAGACTAAGGTCTGTAACAACCAAGAAGTTTGGGCATGACATGAAAAGGCTGAAGGTTATAGTCTTTTCAGCACTGTATTCTCACTTTGAGTTTAAACACAAAGCAATGGGAAGAGTTTTGGAAGCACTTCCCTTTAAGGTGCAGCTGTTCTATCTCAGACCGCTCTGGCTACACTTTGGAGGAGTGAATGAAAATTTGCCCTTGACGGGCAGTTAGGAGGTCAGTGTGGTGGGTTGTCACTGATTGGCCAGGGCAGTTAAGAGGATTTTTTATGGTCTTTTCAGTATCATATAATTGATAATAAATCCCCCCAAACAATCTGCTACCATACTGTAAACAAAAAAGCAGTGAGCGAAACTCTCATAAATCAGAAGAACCAAACACACAGAGGGGTCGAAATGCAACCAAAAACCTAAAGTATGCTACTGAGGAACAAGCTAGTTGGATTTTTCCAAGTTATGATGTTTAAACGGCAAGATCACTATATTAAAGCTACTGACACATTGGTAACACTTTAAAATAAGGTTTCATTAGTTAACAAGAAACGAGAATGAGCTAGTCTTCTACAGCATTTATTAATCAAAATTATTTATAATTTCAACGTTTACTAATAAATTATTAAAATCAATAGTTGTGGTTGTTAACATTAGTTAAATGCACTGTTTACTAACATGAACAAACATTGACCGTATTAACTAACATTAACAAAGATTTATAAATACTGTAACAAATATATGTTCATCATTAGTTCGTGTTAGTTAATACATTAACTACTGTTAACTAATGAAACCTTATTGTAAAGTGTCACCGACACAACTTACCTGGAAGTATCCGACTCAATAATTACACATTTCTAACCTTGACCCCCCCCAAAATGGATAAGTTTGCATTGACAAATTTGAAAATTTCAAGTTAAACTGTGCAAACTGTGTTTCCTAGTTAAAGATGGCACCATCTCCGTGTTTTTCAAAGGTGACCAATATATTGCAATATAAAATGTAACTGCTTTATATCCATTATTAAACAAACACGGATCTCAAAATGACCTATACCGGTCCTACGATATACATAACCGTTCAAAAGGTTTGGATCAATAAGATTTTTTTTTTATATGGATATGCACTTTTATCCAGCAAGCATTCATTAAATAGAGATTTATTATGTTATAAAATATTTCTACTTCAAATAAGTGCTTTTCTTTTTTACTTTTTATCAAAGAATCCAGTAAAAAATGTATCATGGTTTCCACAAAAATATCAAAGCACCAAATCAGTATAAGAATGATTTCTGAAGGATCTTGTGACACTGAAGAAGACTGAGGTAATGGCTGCTAAAAAAAAAATCACCTTTGCCCTCACATGATGTGTGAGGGCAAAGGTGATAAGAATCATATATTTCTTAATATTACACAATATTACTGTTTTTTGTATTGCATTTCGATCAAATAAAATGCAGTCTTGGTGAGCATAAGAGACTTTCAAAAATAAAAAAAAATATTACTGTCCCCAAAATTTTAACAGTAGTGTATATCGGTTCATCATTAATTCTAAAAAAAGTTTAAGGGTTTCTTTTAGCCTTTTGAAAAGTTGTCTGAATTCTACGGGCGGTCTAAACACTGTGAATCAGGCAGGCAGACCCCTGAAGGGTGTGTGTGTGCAAAAGCTAGGTCAGATTTGGGCCAGCTGCATCATGATTTCCCTCTACTGCTGTATGGCCCACTGTCTCCAACAACAGCATTCATTCACACAGCCTGAACCACTTACACATACACTCAAGCCTTATGTGCAATGTCTCTGGTTCTTTCTCAGGCCATTTAAAGACTTGGCATTGAACATGTACAGTGCCAAAGATGACTCTAAACACAAGGATGGCTTATTTAGGGTGCGATTTTAAGATTTGTATCCTATAAAAACAATTGAGATATTTCTATATGTGAGAAGTGTTCAGGGCAGCCAAGCATTTCACCACAGCCACTTTCCGAACATTTTGGTCAAAAACCCACCATGACCTCATGACACGATAAATACTTAAATGTCTTTGATTTCTCACCTATCTGCAGAGGGTCTTTAACAGCTCTCACTCTATAGAGCTGCTCACCACGCTGGAACTCATCAGGGCTGCCATTGGCCAAACAAGAGTATAATCTGCAAAAACAGAAAGGACAAGGAAATTAAACCGAGCATTCAGTTCGGATCTTTCAGATTTCAGATATTAATAGGCATTCTGGTAATCTGGTTAAGCAAAAAGGTAAAGCACACGTATTTAAAGGGGTGGTTTGCTGATTTTTTTCTTTGCATGATTGTGTTTATGGAGTGCAATATAACAAGCCTTTAAAGCCTTATTTTTCATAAATTTCACCTTTATTGTAAGCTGCTTTCTCCTCTGTCATTTGAATGACCAGTTGACTTCCTGATTCTACGAAACCACTCCCTCAAAAACAGGCAATGGGCTCAGATTGGTTAGTTTAGGCCGGTGTGTTGTAATTGGCTAAACTGCGTAGTGCACGTTGTTCGGAAACTTCATGCCCATTACCTTTACGGGCGAAAGTTGCATGTGCTCCGGTCAAATGTAAAAAATGGTGTTGATACTGTAGTATCAGTATGAGCCAGATTCAGACCCAGAAAGCGGCAATGAAGAGAGTCAAGCAGAACCTCCCACCTTTAGTATAACTGAATAAATGTCTGAAAAATACTGTTTTTTTTTAAGTTATTGTTTTATCGATATAACGAGCAACCGTTTATCTATTCACGAAACTTGGTTTACTCAGTGTATCGTTTTATTTAGGTGTACATGTGGCAACTGCCTAAAAACCATACTGTACACTGATAACAGCAGCTGAAGTTTGCGGTTGCGATAATATATATTTTATATACAATTATTATACACACAAAATAGCATGAAACTAACTGGCTACTATAAACAAACAGCATTTGTTTATCAAACTACAGTGTCCATGGGAAGCCCGAACGCAGAAGACCTGACAGCTGGGTGAAAATAACACACTTTCAACTCTCCACTATATCTCTTACTCTTCGACAAAGTTGCAGAAATATGGCCATGCCCCATTGTGAGGGTTGATGTAAATTTATGGGTTAGATCCGTTTAAAACCCAGGAAGCATTTCGTTGTAGTCCCATTCGAGTAGTTTTTGTAGCCATTAAACTTCCTGATTTTTAAAAGACGATGAACTTTCAGCGCAGCAACTTTGTAGATACTGTTCATGTACCAACAGCAACACTACACACTATGTAAAATGAAAAAAGTGAAAGTCGCAATCAACTACCCCTTTAAAATAATACACTGCCTGGTCAAAAAAAAAAAAGGTTGCAGTTTGGATTTAAATAGGAAAATGCTTAAGAGTCTATGACTGGATAATTATTGCAGTGAATATGATGTTTTTAGCTTGTTATATGTTTGGCAACAGTTCTTCTAACCCTAACTGATGGAGTGTTTAGCTTTTAATTTCTTAAACAATTCTGTAGGAAGACACATCATGGCCATACAAAGCCAAGATTCATCAGGCTCAGATTGTGAAAGTATGGTTTTGAGGGAGCATGAAGAATCATTTTCACTCATGAATTGGCACCTCTGAGTCCAGACCTTAAATTTATTGAAAGTCAGAGTGCACGACTTTTGCGTTGTGAATACAAGATCTTGACCAAAAATTGATGCACCTCGTAATGGAAATAAATGTTGTGATGTTATTTTCAAAGACTCTTAATAATTTGTAAATTTAAATTTAAATCCAAACAGTGACTTTTTTTGGACCGGCCAGTGTTTAATAGCAGTTGCAAGGTCTGTGAGCTTTTACCTGATGTCCTCTTCATTCTCTGGAAAGCTCCAGTAGGCAATCCGCAATTGGAGCTGCTCAGGAACGGGAGGATAGACCTTTTCCACCACTTCGAACGGAATATGGAATGCCACCTGCTTGGCTGACAGCTCCACCAGAGGGATGACCTGTCCATCTAAGAAAGGAAGTGACATCCGAGTTAGGCTACAGTTTCTGCTTCAGAAAACCTACATACTAAAAGAATTAATGGCATGGCTATCTGCAGCAATCTGAAGGCCTGTTCACACAAAGACAAATATTCAGTGTGAAAGTTCTGTGCAATAAAAATTTAAATTTTAAAGAACAGCTGTTAAAGCGTCTGTTTAGACTGACACAAACAGCCACACACATTTAATTCGGTGCTACTTCCCATTTATTTGTAATAATTAGTGAAATTTACTAGCAATTTCTGAGTGAAAATAGTTTCAAAGTAGGCTAAATCCTACACCAATTTTTTTGTGTGTGTGGTCACATGTGTAGAGCTGTTGTTGTTATGTAAAACTATGATTTGGTGGTGGTCAGGAAAAGAATAATTTTTTAAGCAACAGTGTATAGCTGAGGATGAAGACCAATCTAACCAAATTCTCATGCCGAACATTCGTGTTGGCATGAACAGGCCTGGAGACGGCTCGATCACTAGTTTGATAAAATCACTACATTCCGGTCACAGCCACTCTGCATTAAACAATCCAAACTACTTGGCATCTCTGTCGAATAGTTGAACAATAGTCACACAGATGGCTGCAGTTCAAATGACTTATTTTGAAACGGAGAGAACAGTACTGAGAAGTGAGGTTCAAGACCTCAGGCAACCTATTTTGTTCCTAAACCAGACGGTTCATATACACTCAAGGCTATAGAGAAAGAAAACCGGAGAGTTGCCAACAGGGACTAAATGCTGTCCGTTGAGAAGGGGTGGGGGGGTTCCAGTATCCTGCAGGGTCCTGGTTTCAAGTCACTAATTTCCTCCAGACAATGATAAGAGTCGCCAGGCATTAATAATGAAAAATACTCAGACTAAAAAAAACACTCCAAGAGCAACTGAATATCTGTGCCTACAGCCTAAAGTGAACTCAACCACAGGTTTCAGAGGCAGCACATATAATAAAACTTTTCTTATACTGAGCTGCAAGGCTGTAGTGACACACTTATCTCATAAGATATTAGCAAGATCCATCTGAAATGAACACCAACATCAGGTCATTATCATAACAGAGCTTTAGGCAATGGCACTAATCCACTGTACTCGGTCACCTTAGAGCCACATCTCACATTACATTCACACAATGTCACTATACAACTGCCACATAAAGCCAAAGCATGCTACTATGCTATATTTTTTATTTGATTTAATATATTGTACCTCCACTGCATGCAACATTTAGACCTGATTATACTAGTATAAATGGTACATAAGCCTGAACTGTCTTACTTTTTTATATAAGGGATTATATATCCGATTTAGGGCTGTCAAGCGATTAATCGCATCCAAAATAAAAGTTTGTGTTTACATAATATATGTGGATGCACTGTGTATAATTATTTTGTATATATATATATATATATATATATATATACACACACACACACATGCATGTATATTCAAGAAAAAAATATTATTTATATGTAAAATATTTATATTTAAATATAAATATATTATACAATATAAATCTATATACAGTATATACATGAAAATATTTCTTAAATATATACAAGCATGTGTGTGTATTTATATATATAAAATAATTATACACAGTGCACCCACATATATTATGTAAACACAAACTTTTATTTTGGATGCAATTAATCGCGATTAATCGTTTGACAGCCCTAAACCGATTAATCGAAAAAAATTACTTTACGATTAATCGATTATTAAAATAATCGTTAGTTGCAGCCCTACAAAAAACGAAACAAGCTCCTCATTTTCAAAGTTCTACTAACACGGGAATCATTTATCCGATTCCTCATGAAGGAAAATCAGCAGGACTGTCCATTTCCACAAACTGTGACCATGTTATTAAAAATGGGACAAGTTACACAGATTTATCTAGGGTTAAATCAATCACCCTTAACCAAAAAGCACAACTGTCAATGTCAAAAAATGATGCTATGATGTTACCTTCAGAAAACAAAAAAAGAGGATGCACAATTATTGACAATATGCAACTTAACATTTTACCATTACTCTGTCTACCTACAACCTGGTATTTCAGCTGTTAAGCAAAACATGTCATGGTCAAATAGAAGCAAACCACACCATTACCAGCCACCCACACAATCTAAAACCAACCGCCAAAAGATGAAACGCTAAACTACTTTGGAGATGAATTACCCAGACCACAAGTAGATAAAAGAATATATTATAGACAGACAGTGGGAGTCATAGAGACAACAACTTCACAGGGGACAGGTGACTCATTAAAGGTGCTGCCAACAAACAGCTGCTCAGCAACAATGAGCATAAGTGTGAGTGAGATCCCAATGAATCAGGTGGCACACTCACTCATAGCCAACCTTGGCTGATTTAACCATGGTGATCAACAGAAAAGAAGTTAACACAACAGGCTACGAGACAGCTTTGTCTTTTGTGAGGCAGTAAATAGGTGAGACGGTCTCATGAGTGGTCTGCCATCTCACTGGTCCAAACCCTACCGCCTGCTGCCCAACAACCAGAGAACAAAGACACCCAAGCTCACAGAGTGCTATGTAAACAGCTACGTCTGAGTGATTGTCTGCACGTGATATACCTCTGATTTACTTTTAGAACAGAAATGTTGGTGTCTAAAACTAGGCTGTGCAAGATCAGCAGCATTATGCTGATTGATCAAATGTGGCTTTTTTTGTTTAACCACAATCCTATGTTCTGAGGCAGTGACCTGCACAAGACAAAGATCTTTTTACAGCCCTCTGCTGCTCAACTTCACCCAACCCCCCACAACACTCACTCACTCTCAATCTAAACACCACACAGGCCTTCCTTTCCAAACCCCCTTAACTTATCCAACAAATGTTACGTGCTCCACTCACAGATCTGCACCAGCACAGATCTCTCCCTTCACAACTGACAACTCTCAGGACACACGCACAGCATGGGGCGTTTGGTTTGGTGGGATGAAGTTTCAGCAGTATAAAAAATCTGCAGTAATACAGAGTGACTGACCAAATGCAACTTTTTACAACAAAAGTTGTTTCAAACAGGATTTTTAACACATCACAGTTGTTGCTGCAATATCAAAGATCTAGATTTCCAGCTATAAAAAAGCTACGGATACTGTAAAACACTTTTATAGAGACAAATCGGAGTTAAACCAGAAGTAAAAAGAAATAATTATATTCATAAGAATTGGACATTGCTTTTTCTAGACAATTTAATAAAGGGACAGTTCATCCAAATATAAATTGTCGTTTTTTACTCACCCTCATGTTGTTTCAAGCCTGTATGACTTTCTTCTGCGGAACACAAAAGAAGATATTTTGAAGAATGTCGGGGTTTTGGGATTGACTTTCATGGTATGGGGGAAAAAAAGATTTTTGAAAATATCTTATTTTAGTTCACAAACACAACTTAAGTCATACAGGGTTGGAAAGACATCAGGTTGAGCAAATGACCTTGGAAGGGGGTATGGGGGGGATTCTGTCATCATTTACTCACCCTCATGTCGTTCCAAAACTTTAAGACTTTCGTTCATCGTCGCATAAAATTCATCAACGCACACATCTAACATGGTAAACGGTTCATTCTCGTGTTACGCAGCAAGTTTGAGCTTCCGTAAGTGGTTTGCTCTCACGCATCAAGCAGGTTTGAGATTCTGTTTATGTTTGCTGATCAATATTTATGTGAACAAAAGTCTAAATTTAATCTGTTCATCATATAAAGTGACTGCGACTCTTCAAGAAATTTAGACTAAACCACTCAATTCACATGGATTAGTTTTACAATCATTTTGTGGACATTTTGAAGCATCCACATGGTAGTTGCGTAGATGTCAATGAACAAACAGAAATGTCTCAGATCTCATTAAAAATATCTTTAGTTGTTTTACGAAGATGAACAATAGTCTTACAGGTTTGGAACAAGATGAGGGTAAGTAAATGAATTGGATTTTCCAGTTGTGGGTGAACCATCCCTTTAAGTTTACTATTGTCATCTGACATTTCACTTACCTGTGATCTTCAAGTCAAATTTCCCTCACATTGAAAATTAAAAATACATGATTTTCTTTTAAGACTCCTTTTAAGAAATTATAACAAAAAAAAAACACATTGAATACTGCTGTAACAAACACATTTAGTAAATAAAATGTTTAAAGACTTAAGCAAAATACATCTTCTTTTCTGCTTAATTAAAATCACTTTATTTAATAATATCTTTTTTTGTTGTTAAAAAACTGCTGTGTTACTCTGTAATTTGTTGATGTGCATCTTAAAGAAACATTTTTACATGCATATTTCACAAATAAATCTCCATAGTGGCTAAAAAATCACTAATGTCTCACTTTGCTAAATCATTCCCTACATACAAAACAATGTGCTGTATTACTACAGGTGTGTGAAAGTAGTGCAGTAGCTTAGTTGCTATGCTATAACATGACAGATAAAATCATCTCAGAGGTGCATTTCACCACACTGCACCCTATCATAACAGTATATACATTTATTTAAGATGCCAAACAACATATTACAAGCCAACGTTTAAAGAAGGCCATAACTGACCTTCAAAATAATAATTTAACACAAAGATGGGAAACTTACTATAATATATACTAAATGTATTCTTCTATTCTTGACGATGCCTAACTCCACCAGTGATATTAAATGTGTATTCTTTATCAGAAAATCAGTCAAAAATAACTCCAAGACATACAAGGTTAATTAAATTGTCCAAATAAGGCCATGTTTGGAGGCAGTTTCACTTATTAGTTGTGAACATGCATGTCACGTGACAGTGTTATTATCCATAAATTAAGAATACATCCTAAGGTCAAAAGTGCAGCCATGCCAAGGAACGGTGTGCTCAAGTTGCAATGACAGCACATAAAGCGTTTCACAGCACACAAAGACAATATTTATTACCTTTAATCTTCACAGTGGGTGAATTTGGGCCGGCAGACTGTTTCCTCCATCCTCTCCAGTTCTGGCAGAGGCTTTCCGCCTCTGATATGAATGAGCACAGGGAGTCCTCCTCAAAACGGTCCGAATCTTCAAAGGAGAACCTCTCTCCGTCTTCCCACTCAGCGAACATCAGTTCCATCACATCCGCTGTGTGGAGACCTGAAAGCTCCAACTGAACGTGCCTAGTATGAGCTTCTGTTGTTTTGAGAAAGTGACACTCGCTCAGGGGGAGGGGAAACTCACACTTAACCCAAACACCGAGAAGTCCCTCAAGAAAGCGTGTGTTTTCTACAAATGTATGCTATATTTAGGTTGTCAGATGGAGCACTTGCACATCACTGCGGTGCAGTTAAGTGGAGTTAATCCATGCTTTTAGACCCCAATTGCTAGAGAAGCTTAGGGGTCTAGTTCTTGAAAAAAGTGACAACCCATAGCTAAAGATTTAATAAACCTATATACGTATGACTTTTCCCCATATATAAGTGGTGTCTTACATCGTCAAGTACGTACAGGACAGAACACTCCAGATATGTATTACTGGACCTTTGTCGAGGTCTAAATCTTTGAAATCAATAAGTCCCTCTTTAGTGTGGTATTCCAACTACATAGCAAATTATGTTATTTGACAGCACGAACTGTAGTGACTCACTAGCATGTAAACATGTTAGTTCTGGTCGTTTTAGCAAGCAGGAGTTCTTTTCACTTAAATGTTAATTTAAAACCCCTCTCCTCTGTGCGTCCTATCAGCTGAGCCTCGAGTCTCACAACAGCTCTAACGTTACGGCTAACAAAACAAGAGAGCGGTGAAGAAAAACAGGTCCCCAAGTACACCTAGTGACCCTCTGCGAGGATATTTCTCTTAAATAAGGCCATATCACAGTAGCAAACCTGTGTTAACCCAAAACAACCCAGGTACGGTTGCTTTTATTTCGATCGAGGTAGCTCTGCTAACTCCGATAGGCTAACGTTAGTTGATTAGCCTGCTAGCGTCCCCGCTAACCGAGAATCCCAAACACTTCAAAAACTGTCAAAATAAGCGCTGTCACGACCTGTGCTTATTTGTCCCTCAACATAATCAAACGGAATAACACTGTTTTAATGTTTTGGCACAAAAGCCTTGGTCCCTAATCCGAGTCTTGTCGATCCACTGATTACCCAAAACAAACGACCGGCCAGTGCTTTTGTCTCAGCATTTTGCCTCAACGTGGGTTTAAAAAAAATAGACAACTAAAATTAAGATTTGACCCCTCGACCGAGACAGACGTCCATCTGTGGAAAACACATTTGTCTTTATGCCACTTCTAGGTGCCTCATTTGTCGTCTCCTTTGTGTGTAAAAGCTCGTAATTCGCTTGTCTGCATGTGCCACCGGCCGGTTCTTTTCTAGTCCTCCGTTTCAAAGCAGCCAGTGCTCTCTGCATCCAAAATGTCTTTAAAAGCAGACGATTTGGAGTCGAGATCCCCCTGTTCTTTCTGTCCTGTCCCCCTCTCCTCTGCTCGGGAAGATGAAGATGGCTCTCCAGCATCAGCTGATCCGCACTTCCGCTCCACATTAAAGCCAAACAAACACTAGTCTCTCATTTCAGAATTTAGCATTGCATAATAAATTATACGACAGTTATATGTGCGTTAGTATGTACGTTTAACACTAAATCATAAATCATTTATAATGCATTTCAACTGTTTGGTTTACCTTAATTCTTCAGTATCAACAAATGAATAGGCTATTGTGCAACAGTTGTCACGGTCCGATTGTGTCAGTCTTGGACTGTGAGATTTAGGACATGAGCTTACATTCAAAATCAAATACCGAAAATGAACGAATGCTTGATAGTGACTTGGATAGAGCTTCTTTTAGCAATGCACAATTCATGTTGCTGTGTTGGTATCACAACTATTGGATTTTTATCATTTTCAGAGCCTATCCATTCCAGCTTAATTTTTGGATTTTTCTAATATGACATAATACTAAGTCCACTGATGTTTTTATTATAATATTTTATTATATATTTTTATACATAAAATAGGCTGCTAGGCTATTTAAAAGCATGGCAGCATGTAACAGATAAATAATTCTGATTATATTTATCTTAAAATAAGCAATTGTTTGACTGTTTTAAAATTAGGTGACATTATTAAGATCATACTATCTTTATTTTACAAAGGATTGTGACATTTACCTTTACTACAAAGGATTTTATTATTTGATGTCTAAAGTAATGGACATTGGGTTTCTATATTTATTTGGATGTTGCAGTATCAATGTTATTTGAAATAGACTTTGATAATAATTATTTGAATGACTCATTTATTTCATTCATTATCATTTCGATATAAAGCATGACTAAATTGTAAATTGTTATGTACCTGCAATAGGGTGTGAAAGATTTAATTTCATACAAATTCAAAACCCGTTCATATAGAAGAAGAAGAAAAAGACGTTTTATTAATATAGCTCCTTTCCGTAGCTCAAGGTCGCTTTACATTGTACATTACAATACATTTACACACCCGCACACACATTACAATAAGGACACATATAGTCACATTATCCAAAATACATGTTAAATAGATGTTTTAGCTCAGTCTTGAATGTAGCCACAGATGACATATTTCGAAGTGTGAGGGTAGTGATTTCCATCATTTAGAAGCATTAACACTAAATGACCTTCCACCTACAGACAACCGGAAATGAGGAATGAACTATAAACCAAGTTCAGCTGATCAAGGGACAGGGCAGGGTGGTAAGAGTAAAGAAGATCAGACAGATATGGAGGTGCAAGACCATTTAATCCCTCAAACGTTAGAAGTAATACCTTAAAGTGAATACGTGATGCCACGGGTAGCCAGTAAAGGTCATGAAGCAGAGGAGTAATTTGAGCAGAATGCCTGGTGGAGGTGAGAACTCTTCCTGCTGAGTTTTGAACATATTGTAATTTTGCAATGCGTTTTCTGGGCAGACCAAGAAATAGAGCATAGCAATAATCCAGACATGATGTGATTAATGCATGAATTAAGGTTTCAGCATCCTCTAAAGTGAGAGAAGATCGAAGATATGTGCAATATTACAAAGATGGAAAAATGTTTTTAACAAGAGAAGAAATATGAGAGCCAAAATATAGAGTTGAGTCGATTAAGACACCAAGGTTACTAATAGATGACGAAGGCTTAACATGAACTCCATCAATATCAAAGGACAGGTCCATTCTTTTGACTGTTTTTTATTATTATTATTTAATTTGAGGAAATTCAGGTACATCCAATGCTTGATGTCACTGATACATGCAGTGAGTGAGTCAGGCAGGGATGGTCTGGTGGTGAGATAAATTTGAATGTCATAGCAATGAATTTGAAATTCATGCCTACGAATGATGTCACCAAGTGGATATAGATGATGAACAACAGTGGGCCAAGAACTGAACCTTGAGGAACACCCTGTGTAAGCAAAGCAGTGGCAGATTTATACCCTTGTATGGTGATATATTAATTTCTATCACTGATGTAAGGAATGAGCCAGGAAAGAGCGGAACCAGAAGAGCAGTTTCAGTGCTATGAGATGGGCAAAATCCTGATTGAAAAGGTTAAAAAAGACCATTAACATATGATCGCAATTGCAAAGCCACAACCTTTTCAAAGATTTTGCTTAAGAATGTTAAAATAGATATTGACCCATGTTTAGATGGTCAAGGCGTATTTTTTTAAGAATGGGGGTCACCACAGCCATTTTTTAATTCTGCTGGGACAATGGCGGAAGCCAAACTACAGTTTATCATATGTGTTGTGAAGGGTGCAACCCCGAGGACTCACCACATCTTAAGAAAAAAAATTAGGTGTAGGACCAAGCCGGCAGGAAGTGGAATTAGAATATGTTTATTTTTTAATCTACCTGTTCCAATTTTAATGCATTCAATGTACATTTTAAACATTTAATATAAACACAATTTAAGATAAATGATTAATATCATGATGCCTTAACATTACACTATGCATTTTGATTAGCTTGTTTTTGCTTTCCCATCATCAAAAAATTAAAGTGCAGACAAGGACATGCATTTAAATCTTTTTAACCCATTGTTTCCACATTATGTTTGGTACATTTGGTGTCTAATCATTTGAATATTCACAGTTTTTCTAAACTGGTTTAAACTAGGCTAAATTTGGCATACTAACCACCTATAAATATTTACATAATTACATCAAAGTTCCTGTTTGGGATTGATGAAAAACATACTGTTCATAAAGTATCAAGAACCAAAACATGTAAATAATTTGAACAGAGATGGAATTGTACTTTAGGTATGCCTTTCCAGTAAGCTTGACTAATCAATAATTTCAGCAATTCTTGAGAAAGAATGAATTTATACACTTATATCTTCTTATGTAAATAAAATGTACAAAACTTATGTACAAAAACCTGAACACTGCAGGAAGTAAATGTAACAACATCACTCAAGCCCCTTTAACACAACTTCCATGCAATTTAATGACTGACAAAAAATGATAACAGATGACATAATTTACTTTTCAGCAGCAGATTCTGACCATATGTGAAATAAATATGAAAAAAAAGACAGTTTTAGGACAGTTTAGTAGCCTCCGAGCCATAATTTTGTACGCTAAGCCATAACCACTTGAGCGGGCTGTGACGTAGTGGGGGTGAGGCGCCACCATTGGGCGTGGCCAGGCTCAGTGGTATGCCGCTGCAATTGCCGCAGGGCAACCAATGAGTGTGCTAGACAGCCTGCTCTAGGTCTGCTAGCTGCTGCACTGCGTTGACAAAGAATACAAAATTAAGAATAATTTTTGGCTTCAATATCTCGAGAAAAGATTACTTTTCTCATTGCGTAATCTAAATTTACACGATACTCTTTCCCTCTCTAGAGAGAACCGAGGTTATGTTGGGTCTGGGTATCTGGGTACGTTTTCCACCCACATCATTGTAGCATCTGTTTTGTACAAATGCAAAAGTTTTTTCAAGTGAACGCAAAAGCACTTATATAGTTTTAGCTATATATAATCTCATATTTTGTTAATCACCATGTCCCCAAGTCATCCAGCCGATTAACAGTCCAATGCTTAATTTCACTGATCTCTTCAGTGGGGGCTTTAAAAATTTTTTATATCTATAAATAAACTGACACTGTTTTTTTGCATCCCACCTGAAAAACTCTAAATTGTAAGCTCGATAACGATAGTCGTACCCTACATACCTTCAACAAGAGTACAAATAACCAACATACATGTGGAATGTTGATAAATCTTTACATATATATGCATGCTGCTCCTTACCTTAATGAACTCCAGCTCAACAAAATATGTTTAAGTGCAATATGTGAACTGATTTAAGAATCCAGGCAAGCCAGACTAGAACACAGACCTCCCACAGATGCTCCACTTTGTTGGCATGCAGATTAGTGCAAAATGACATATTTACAAAGGCTTATCTGTCAAAGACCTTTCGGTCCTGGAAAACTCCACTCAATGAATGCAGCTGTCCCTCAAAAACATACATTTGTGGCTTTACGTTTTTGTGCATGTTCACGAACGTTTCAAGTCTACAGAAATGGAACTGAAATGGTATGTGGTAAGATGTGCAATGCAAAAAATGGAATCAAAACCTGCTTTAAACCTAATGGCCAGCTGGTGATCCCTTCATACATAATAGCCTATATATTTATACAATGCAATAAGTGGCTTTAAAGTCAACACTGTAACATCAAGCTTTGGAAGGGCTGTGGGTGACTTTCTCAATCCACTTCAGGAACCGGCCGACCCGTGTGTATACACCAGGATAGGTGGGGTCGCCACAACCATGACCCCAGGAGATGATTCCTGTGAGCATCCAGTGCCCACCATCGCCCTGGCACACCAGGGGACCCCCACTGTCACCCTGACAACTGTCCACACGCCGATGGTTCGACAAGCTCCCGGCACACAACATGCGGCTGGTGAAGCGACTGCCGTAGCGTTTTTTACACTTCAAAGAGGGCAGTAATGGAACCCAGGCTTGCAGTAGTGTTCGGGAATACTCCGAGTCTAATACAAGAATAGAAAAAATAAGCATCTCCAAACCTTAAAAAAACCCCGAAACATTTCAATGTATGTAAATAAATAAAATATACAGTACTATTCAAAGGTTTGGGGTCAGTAAGATATACTACTTTTAGCAATTTAGCAAGGAAACATTAAATTGATTAAAGCTACACTGTGTAACTCTTTTAGTTTATTCTTAGCTAAAAACACTTAGATCTTTCAAAAATATATGTGCTCATTAATGTATATTTACTTCGTTCAAGTAATAAAGTATTCTCGTGAGTGTATAATATGCCATTGAAAATACATACGGGTAAGGGGTTCTAATGTCGGTCGCCATGTTGCCCCTCCATCTTGAAAGTACATTAGCCAAAGAGGGACATAACCGTTAATTCAAGCTTCGCCTTTCGCGTTTACGTTTGAGTTAACACTCATGGACGAGGTCGAACTGGATGCCATGTTAATCTTGAACTACATTGGCCACTGTAGGAGTTAAAACGAAATCGGAATTGGGAGGAACAGAAACTAATATTCACTGGATGGTCATATACCTTTTCACCGCTAGATGGGGGAAAAAATCACACAGTGTAGCTTTAAAAGTGACAGTAAATACATTTATGCCTGCTAATTCTGTCATGAAACTATAGATGGCGGAGGCTGATGGGTCCTTAACGCAAGCTGATGATATTTACAGCATTAACTACTTGGCACAAGCTGATTGGTTCATGTCGCATCTGCAGCCAATTAGCTTACTGCTCAACATTTAAATGGCATTTAATGTTTGTCTGAGTTTGTCACCTTCCCCAGTTCTACCTGTATAAATCTGCTCTGGGTAATTGATATGTGCTATTTGTGCAGCAGCAGTATGTCTTACATACTCAGCAGTGTGTCGTGTATATATTGGCAGTAGCAAGTGCTTTACTTGCTCTACAGCAGCAATAATCAACAGCAGCAATTCAGCAGCAGTAGCAGTGTAGCAGTAGCCTGACTTCGTCATACTCATATTCTAGTGATCTTCCCGACCAAAAAATGTTGTGGGCGGAGTTCGGGCTGGCATCCATGCTAGTGTAGCAGATATATTCCAACAAAAATATTAAGCAGTTTTTAACTGTTTTCAACATCGATAATAATTAGAAATATTTGTTGAGCAGCAAATCAGCATATTAGAATGATTTCCGAAGGATCATGTGACACTGACACTGAAGACTGGAGCAATGGCTGCTGAAAATTAATTTAAGTTTCAGTTTCGATTTAATTTCAAATTCAATTAAATTTGCTTTACATTTGACAATATTTGACTGTATATTTTATTTAGCCTAAAAAATGCAGTTTTGGTGGGCATAAGACAAAAAGTCTTACCAACCCCAAACTTTTGAATGTTACCGTATTTTAATTGTCATATTATAATATTTACATGTATGCAAAAATGTTTTTTTATCTTGATTTTTCTTATTCTATTTAATATAGCCTACTGTTTATAAATAATTCATAGGCAATTCACCCAGCATTATTAGCATAGGTCTTCCATCCTAAAGAAAACCATTACTCATCATGATTGTGTTGAAATCACTTAGCATATGTTTAAGTTTGCAGTACCTGTAATTCCCCAGCCGGTAATAACACAGGCGATGGGCCTCTTGCCGCTCTTGTTGCTGTGAGCCGGAAGGCAAACTGCATTAGTGTGTGGGTTAAAGGCCACACATTTCCCATCTGTCCCCTTCAACTTCAGTAAGGCAATATCATACTCCCAGCCCTGGCTGTTATACTTCCTATGGATCACGATGCGCTCAGGAGAGAGAGTGCGCTCAAAGTCGTCCCTCTCCTCTGTGTGGTAGTCGCCGAGCCGCAGCACGTAACGGGAAGGGTCAGAACCAAATCTGAAAAAAAAAGAGATGTTCATGCACAGCATGTTTATTTATTGCCAATATGTCATAAATGGCATCAATTGCCACAGTGTACAGTGGTTATCATTCTATGGAGAGCCACTAGATGTCAGTAGAGTCTCTCTCTCACCTCTTGAAGCAATGAGCTGCAGTAATGACCCAACAGGAATTGATGAGAGTCGCCCCACAAAGTGGATGTGTGCCTTTCGATTGAGACCTCAGCCACAAAGATACTTGCCACGGCCAGTCCCCACTACATGAAAGTTACATATGGTTTAAAACACATGCCAAGAAGTGCACTCTTTGTGTTCATGTTGGTTTAATATGGTTAACACTTTGACAGCATTTATAAAAATGAAATTGAAATTGAATGTGGTGCAATCACTAAAACAAAACATTTTCAGTGACCATGAACTTACAATTGTACACATCTTAATCATTGTTTTTAAAGTTTAATATACATATACATATCAATTTAAACAACCCAAGGTCTAACTTATTTTATTGATAAAATGACTAACCCTGCTAGTCATTTTGCTAAATATTTGATTGCGCTTATCAACACTGCTTGATAAGCGCAACTGCTTAAACCCTGCTTAATAATTGTTGCGGAAATTGTGATAATTTTCAGGATTATTTTTAATGAATAGAAAGTTCAAAAGAACAGCATTTATTTGACAGAAATCTTTTGTAACATTATACATGTCTTTACTGTCACTTTTGAAATAAAAGTAAACTTCTTAAAGGTAGTGTACTTTGAATTAATTATTAGATAAGGACCAAAGAACTACACCATTTTGGAAAAGCCAGAATCCACCTTCATTACATGATAAGAGTGGGCACCACATTCTTCAAAATCTCTTCTTTTTTTGTTCCAGGGAAGAAATACAGGTTTGGAAGTACATGAGGGTGGGTAAATGATGAAAGGATTTAATTTTTTTGTGAACTATACCTTTAAATCTAAAACAGATTTGCTGTTTAATATCAAACACATGATTATACAGTAAATTGTAGTCGCTTTCATGTTACTGTAAATATACAAAAATGATATGCTGTTCTCTAGTGACCGCAGTGCAATTTAGACAGTAACAATGGCAGCTGACCAATAAACAATAAATACAGAGAGATTAATAAAAACAATGAAGATGTCACAATATTAGCAAATAATAGGAACCCTGACGTCCATTACCGTAGAGATTTATCTCCTCCAATGATCCTTCTCCTGCGCCTCTGTGTGTTGGGTCTCAAACCACATTCCTGTTTGCTCATGCCGCTGTACTTTACAGGTTCAGTGGTGTAATCACAGATGACCCCTGCGTCCTCACTGTTTCTGCAATCATGGGAGTCCGAGCCTACAGCTGAACATTCACCCAACGAAGACTCCGTTCCAACGCACTTCACGTTATCCAGATGGATCGGTCCCTGGCCCTCGCCGAAATAAGCCATGGAGCGGGCCTTCGAGACCCCACTGATATAGAAAAGGGGAAAGAGGAACAAGTAAGTGTTTGAAGATTTAGAGATGATCTTTGATCATGTGAAACATGCTTACATGAATCCTAGCTGTCTGCAGACCACTCCAGCATTGATGTCATTCCAACCGTCATCACACACGCTGCCCCACTCGCCATTAATAAACACCTCTACGCGTCCCTCCTTACGGCTCTCACCATCCACCAGCCTCACCAGGGGACCTGGAACCACAGCAGAGCTAGAAACAGCACAGAAAATATGGGCCTCTATAGACTTGAACATATGATAAGTTTTCATTTTTGATGTTATGCAAAATCATACCCCCCATGTGGGGTACTACAAAGCCATTTCATTGGCTAAGAATGTTTTTATGGGCACTCTTGTAATACAGCCCTACAATATGGTGTCAATATGGTGCCTGAAATGACAATATATATATATATATATTTTTAATAATTATTTTAAAATGATTTTTTGATGATTTCAATATTTTTTACTCCATGATCTAACCATGTTCTTCAAGATACAATGTTTTTTTAAAAGCTTATATAAATATGCAAACATGCCATATTATAAAAGATAATGTTTCCTAGAATCCAATTTGATTTGGAGGGCTCTTAAAAGTGTAAAATGTTTCTTCTTGTGTAACATCTGGTTAGGATTTTATGTTGCTCTTGATGATGATAAAGCTAATAAAAGTGTTTACATGGAGTTTACAAACCTGTGGCTGGAGCCACCTCAGGAATTTCATTGTTATGTGCTTCTCTTTCACAGCGTATGCCCACATCTTCATTGTGGGAGCAGTCGTGCCGCCCCCACTGACTATGAGCACAGTCCAGCAGAGAGCTCTCGCCCCCTTCACATTTCACCTCATCCAGCAAGATCAACCCTGTACCCTCCCCATACATCCCATCTGGAGCCACCTCAGCACGCCCTCTGTTGGATAAATAGCGGTATTGCAGCAACAGATCAGACAGCTAAATAAAAACACTTATACAGTCATAGATTCCTGGTTTCATGTGACCAAAAGATCTCAAATCAAACTTGAAAACATCTAATATGCAAAAATGTGCTACTTTTAGTCACTTCAAAGTAGCACATCATATGCTTACATACATTTACATTAGGAATATGTTATCAATCAGCTTACCGATAACCCAGCTGTCGACATACCACCTGGGCGTGACGTCCAGTCCAGTTGTCATCACATACGGTGCCCCATTCTCCAGCGTAATAAACCTCAAGGCGTCCTTCCCATGGGCTATCAGCTCCTACTAGACGCAACACTCCATCTACAGCAGCATTAGCATGGACATGTTTAATCTATGCACTTATACAGACTGATGAAATGCTGATAAAAGTAAAAGGGGCAGGAATTTTGGTACCTATAGTACTTTTAATGTATTATCATATGGGCTGTGATTTTGCCTGACACAGTTCATGTCATCATCACCTGTAAATGGGTTACAAGACACTCCAGCGTCCTCCATGTGGTCACAGTTGTGCCGTCCCCAGGGCGCATGAGGACATTCCTCAAGAGACAGTTCATTTCCTGTGCAGTGCACGCCATCCAGGACGATAGGCCCAGTGCCCTGCCCAAAGTGTGCCCATGTCCACGCCTTTGGTACACCACTAAAAATAAACAAATGCCTGTGATTCTTTCCCATGCCAAAACATTCAAGAAACACATTCCTTTTCAAAAGTTTGGGGTCAGTACTTTTTTTTTTTATTAAGAAAGGATGCATTAAATCCATCAAAAATGACAGTAAAGACATGTCAATTTTACAAAATGAAAGTATTTCAAACTTTCTATTCACCAAAGAATCCTGAGAAAATGTATCATGGTTTCCACAAGAACATTGAGCAGCAAAACTGTTTTCAACATTGATAATAAGAAGAAATAGGGTACCAAATCAGAATGATTTTTAAATGATCATGTTACACTAAAAACTTGAGTAACCACCAAGTTCACCCATTCACACAAAGTATAATAACTATAAAGATAACGATAACAATAACTATATTAGAATCCCCACCAATGCAAAACCTTGTTCTGTTTATTATGCACATGCTGGAGTTTTATTGTCTGACACTTTAAATCCTTAAGCTCTTTAAGGTGTTATGGATTCTGATTGGCTTGATAAAATCGATATTGTTATAGTTATAGCGTGGGCTCTGCTATTATTTGATATTTAAAACTTTACATTTATTATCATAATGTCCTTTGTGTGAACAGGCCTTAATGGATGCTCAAAATTCAGCTTTGCCAGCCCAGAATAAATTAAAATATAATTATATTAAAATAAATAATACAGTTACATTAAAGTCTAATACTATTACAATTATATGACATAATTACTGTTGTAATTTTGATTAAATAAATGCAGCCTTGGTGAGACTTCTTTCAAACTTTTGAATAAATAGTATACATTATCATTATAACTATGGGGAAGAAAAGATACAGAGGTACCCTAGTTCTGTTACATAACTTTGTATTGATACTTACAGTGCAAAGGCATTCAAGATAATTATTGTTGATGTATATAATGTACAATAAGAGGATAGTGAGAAGTGTATAGAAAACAGAACAGAAAAAAACATGTTAGATGAATGGTGAAGGGTAAAATCAGTTGCTTTCGATCCCACTGCAGATTCATGGAGTGAATCCCTGCACCCTATCAATCATTCATACACTCCTTCCATTCATCTATATTAATAAAGTTCACTCACTGTGCTAGCGCGTAAAAAATGACTGTCTTTTTAAGCGGCACTCAGACCTGTGCATGACATCATCAGTGTCTCCCAGCTCAAAGCAAAAAAATAACAATTTATAAATATTATCTAAAGAGAAAAGAGCTCAGTAACGTCATGTCCTTAATTTACAAAAGCTTTCAAGCAACATTAGAAGAACTTGCAATATATCCTCGTACTCTTGTATACCTCGTAATTGAAAGCCACAAGGGAGATCATGGAATTTTTGTAAATGTATTTGTAAATGTAAATGTATTTTTTAGGGCTGTCAAAGTTAACATGTTAACTTCAGATATTTAATTTAACAAATATATTTTCCTTTTATCTACAGCCTCAGGCTGAAAGGTATGTAATAAAATCCAATCTGTCAACTTAATAGAAAATACATATTTTCCAGATAATATTATATTTTATAGAATGGGATAGGATGGGATTTTAATGGGATTGGGATTCATGAAGTCATATTTGGGGGTCCTTGGCATCAAAAAGGATACAAATGATGACATATTTCTTACCCCAACCCCAACTGTCTGCAAACCACTTCAGCATCAATATCATCCCATTGGTCATCACAAATAGTACCCCACTTCCCATTATGGTACACCTCCACACGCCCCTCGAAATCCTCAAGGCCTCCCACGAGCCTCAGGGGGGCACCATTACCTAAGCAAAACCAATCAAGCGATAATTCATTTACTGCAGCAGAGAATGATCAGGGCAAAATAATGAGTGAAACATTTCACACTATCTTGAGAGCAGAAGCGTAAAACTATGATGCTATATGCATCGTTAGAGGTACTTTTACAAGATATATGTCTCCCACATATGGCATAATGCTTAGTAGCATGTATGTGTGCGTGGTAAATGATGGGGACGTGTAAGAACCCTTGGCAAAGCCTCAGAGATCTCAGATTGCTTTCTCCTTCCTAATGTTTCTGTGTGAATAATTCACAGCTCTCGCTAAATATACCTGACCTTGTTCTAGCAAACTGTCCCATTACAACAGGCACACACTGTTTATGACTCTGCTTCTGTCTGTCATGAATTCGGTCTTCATTTAGCTCCACACTAAGGAGTATGATCAGCAGATACAGGAAGCTCAGCTAGCGCTTTATGAACTGTGAATCTGAGAAATTTAATTGACAGCATGTGATAAATATAATATTTCCTAACTTGCATTAAGTTCTCTCTCTATATCTACATCTACATCTAGAAAGGCCCTATATATCTGTATCTATATGTACATCTATATTTATATACCTTTCAAAAGTAAATAAAAGTGAAAGAAAATAAATACTTTTTTCATGCATTAAATGGATCAAATTTGAAAGCATATACGGAATATCCCACTCAAATAAAAAAAAAAATAAATAAATAAAAAACTTACCCTCTGGAACAGCACACACCACTCCAGCCTCATTGCCATGGTTACAGTCGCCGGAGACATATTTCCGGCTCCGGCACTTCAGCAGAGAATCTTCATTGCCATGGCAGCCAAGACGTTCAAAGTGGAAGAGACCAGATCCAGGTCCAAAGTAAGAGTGCCGAAGCGCAGTGCCGATTTCTCTGTTGGGGAGTTAGCAGGTAATTAAATGAGAGCACATACTGAGCGTAATTCAGTACAGAGCCTCTAGCTGATAATGAATAGAGTTTGCAGCTTATACCCGAGCCTCAGTTGTCTACAGATCACACTGGCATCTCGATCAGTCAGGTGAATGTCACACACTGCTCCCCAACGGCCATTCAGGTAAACCTCAAGACGACCACTTTTATTAGACGAAGCCCCCACCAACCGAGCCTCACCTGGAGGAATAGGTGTAACAAAACATTCAACTTTCCCTTGAATATCTATATAGTTTGGTCATTAAATAAACTAAAGTATATTATAACAATAATATGAGAAATAATAAGTAACTTGTTTCTCTGATGTCAGTTAATGGTCACATGCCATGCAGGTAAACAAATTAAATATTGAATCTTTCTTAGTTAGTGTTTTATTTTCATTGAGTTGTTTGAATCCAACATGTTTATGATTTGATTACTTAATAGCGTTTCATTAAATTCACAAACCCCATGCAGTTTCTTTAATAAACCCAGTTTGGGAAATCCTGACATGATGTGTATAATGCACTTCATATTGTTGATAAAGAATTGAATATATTTTCGTTCTTTCTGTATTTTTATATCAATATGGTACAAGTTTATCATGTTCAGTTCAATGTGTTTGTGTGGACTATTTGCCTGTTTCCCGGTCAAGATTATCGGTGTTTATGTCATTGTCTTTTTGGTCACTTGGATTCTCTCTCTCCCTCATCCCTACGCACCTGTTACTATATATATATATGTTTTTCAAATGCTATTTATTTTTTGAGAAATCCAATTATCCATTTCCTTATTGTTGATCCTTTCTATTCAGTGGAGAGCAGACATCCTCAAATATAATTAGCTTTTACCTCCGTGTCTTCTTTCTCCTTGACTAGAGGACAACAAGTAAAAGTGGCACAGCTTACCCCACTATCACCCATTTACATCTACAGACTCTGTGAATCAACTCTCTGCAATTAGTACAGAATGATCACATTAGAGACATTGTGTCTTAATTATTAAAAATTATCATCTTGCTGCCACACGCCATGCTCACAGACATGAATTTAAATACACTCTAATTGTTTGAGTCTCAAACCGTGTTTAATGTTGTTACACTGAAAAGAAAAGCAGGAGAAAGGCAGACAGAGATAATCACAGCTCCTAGAGATTTCAACACCGGTTCAGGACTGAACCACAGACACAGTTAGGTGTTGATGACAGACCAGCACAAAGAAATCCAGAGAGCGAACAGACACTTTCTGAGTGGGAGTGCAGAGTGACAAATACACACGACACGAGGGACGTGAGACTGATTGATTATTAAACATTAAATGCATAGACAGGGGAAGATGAATAGAGTATAATAAAAAGAGAGGACAGAGAGAATCCTTGACTGTTGGCTGTGTGCTGACTGCCATAATAAACGTCACTCGATTTCTGTACAACAACACCTACGCTAATATGACAGCTATGACACAAATACTCACCACATTCACTTAATAAACACACACAGCACAGTATAGTAAGAACTTTTCAATGTCAAACGCAGCAAGTCCAGAGCCACCTGCAACCGTGCACTACAGCCCCAAATGTTATTTTATTTTCTGCATTTTTGAATATTCTAGTTTTTTCTCTTTTTTATTTTTTCATTTTTTTAGGGACCATGTACAATTTCAAACATAAATGTTACCATTTGATGCATTGTACCAGAGTTAGCCAAAGGTTAATTTACATCTGCAGTCCCAATGTATTTACTGTATGCTTGAATAGCAATGACACCTGATTTAATATCAAATGAGTTTATCAACAACCCATTTGTACAAAGGACTCAAAATGAAACTTAGATACAAATTAGCTTGTGCTTCAATCTCTACGTACAATGCATTTTATTCGTTTATGCGTTTGTACTGTCTCTAAATAGACCTAAACCTTAAATAAATAAACCTGTAAATTAATGAATGTATAAATAAACATGTAAATAAACCTACATACATACAAACAGTTAGGCTCCAGAAAGGTGTTGATCATAACGGTAATTAATTTGAGAATAATAAAGATGAATCAGAATTAGCTCAGCTTTGTCAGATATACCAGTCTGTGTGTACACTTTAATATGTCTAGAACATATTTAGTGCATAATTTTCCTAATTATAACTTAGCTGGTCACGGTATATCTCTGATGTCTAAAATGTTCCATGGGAAAGTCATGCTAGACTGATATAATATCTGTAACGATAACCAGCCTGCTCAACATTTCGAAGAAACAACCTGAAACATTTTTGCATAGTGACACTTATCATTTTCAAGCTTCATATCAGAAATAGTTTTGCACATGTGTTGGTAGGTTTGTGAATGGCATTTGTCACATTTACACAAGGGTCTGTCCACACAAAATGTTTTTTTGCATTCCACTGCTCTGCTTTTAAACATGCGCTGGATTAACATGTTTGACCGGTGCTCTCCTATCTTCTGAAAACACAGTGTTCAAGTTAAAAATATCAATCTCAAGAGCATGTTTTTTTTACATTCCACTGACCTGCATCTTTCTTTCTTTTTTTGCATGAATGGTCCCTTACTCTCAAGGTACAAAAAGATATTAAAATAAAGCTTTTGTTTAAAAAAAAAAAAAAACACCAACAACAAGGAATGCTCACCCTGGTGGCAGTCGCAGTAGGCCCATCCGATTGCTCCTGACTTCTGTCTGAAAAAGCACCAGGGGTTGGATGCACGGTCAGGATTTCTACAGTGGTTGTGGTCACCCAGCCCACGATCAGGGTACTGCAGCATGTAGTCGGGAAAGTCAGTCCATTTTAGACAGGAAGAGCCAGAGTCTGTCTGAGACACAGATCCATTGTAATAACCCAGCTCAGTGAAGCCCTCAGAGCAGGACAGAGGTCCTATGGGAAACATGCACACAATTTAAAGTTAAATTCAGCATTCAAACTTTAATAATGCCCTTGATGGAGCACAAAATAATATTTTAATCCAGTGGCAAATAAAGCTCAACTTATTTTAAAATCCTTGGCATGAAAACAAAATGTGCATGTCGTGTTATGTCAAAGCAGCAGTGTTGTAAATCTAAGGTGCTCTTATTAGCTTTCTTAACTTGTAACTTTTTTTCTGTGAGTGAAAACCCCTACAGTCCTTCCTCTGGGTGCAGAGGGTGAGGGACAGCAGTGTGAGATACTAATGATGGCTTACTGCACTGCTGGAACACCAAGACCTGTGAGGACCCACTGATGAGTCACAGATTCAGACCTTACATGCCCTATAGTGATGTGTTATACAATGTGTGTGTGTTCAAACAAATAAATATTAAGGAATTACTCAAATAACTCATTTACTTTTGCTTGCTTGCATCAGTTATTCACAATCAGGAACCCCCTTTTTCGAAGTGATTCTAATGAAAAACCTTAAAGTAAAAACAATATCGAGTATTTTTGTGATCAAATTATGTGATCTATTCTAGACAACAAGTCTCATGTAAGAGAACGTTTTCTAAAATATTTACTGTGTAGAAGCAGCCAGAAACAACAAATTTAATTCCAAGGTTTAGTGTGTTGTTAAATTAATTTGTGAGCATTTAAACAATCATTTAATACAGCAATCCATAATTTATTAGTCATCTTAAGCAGTTCCCCATTCGCTGCAGGTCTGTTATCTAATGCTTTTCTGGAAATGTGACTAGAAAGGGAGAAAGTCCTGGGCTTTTTGCCCACTGTCCAAATGCAAGCTTAACTAGAGTCGTATTGACGTATTTTCAGACAAGAGACCAGACAAGTAGTCTTCATTGGGTGCTTTGGGCATAACACATATCATTTCAGATTCAAACATTTGTTTAGGCAAGTAACACCAAAGGGAAACTTATCCACTACAAATAAATATCAGAATCGTTTGAAAGCTTGTTAAAATAAAACATTTTTGCTAATTTTTATATCACAATTTTACATTTCTGAAGATATAAAATCAGAATTACATGATATAAAAGTCACAATTGAGTTTTATAAAGTGAGAATTACAAGATATAAACACAATTGTGAGAAATAATTCAGACTTATATATTGTAATTATAATTCTGTTTATATATAGCAATTCTGTCTTTATAACATGCAATTGCAACTTTATATCATAAAATTCTGACTTTATATCTCCCAATTGCGTGTTATAAAGTCAGGAAAGTCCGAAAAAAAAAGTCTGAATTGCGAGTTTATTTCTCTCAATTGCAACTTTATATCATACAATTTTGAAATTGTTAGAATTGCGAGATGTAAACTCGCAATTGTGAGAAAAAAAAAAGTTAGAATTGTGAGATAAAAAGTCACAATTATCTTTTTTTATTTTTTTATTCTGTGGTGGAAACAAGCTTCCATATAATTGATCAGCTCTGGGAAAAAAAAAAAAAAAACTCCTGAGAATTTATGGTCCTGTTGTGCAGGATCAAACAGAGGACATTGTGCCCTAGTCTCTCTTTAGAAGCAGGTGCTAAACCCTTAGGGAGGAGAGAGAGATGAGACAATCTCATACTCTGAGTATTATGGGCCAAAACGCTAGCAGATGTTACGCCAGAAAAGTATTTACACCTGTATGCGTATACAAATACACCCAGCGGACACATAGCCTAACCCTGCTTGTGTAGATTACTTTAGACTATTGAGCTGAAAAGACTGATGGCCAACATAAGCATATCTAAAGCATCACTGAAACTGTATTACGTCTACATTATTCCAAATATAACTGTAAACAAAGTACTGAAAAAAATTATACAGTATCATTCCATATCTTATTAAAAGCATGTTTTATCAGAAAACAGTATTAGATTTCCAATGTAAACCAGTCAGTTTTATACATCCAGTCCATCCATTATGATTATCTCAATTTAGGCAGAGGCATCAGAAGAGGATGGCGTGGCTATCTGACATCTCACTGAACAAAAAAAAAAAAAAACCCTCCATAATCTAATGGTAAAATATTGATAATAAATTTTTGATGTTATGGCTGCTGATAACCATGTAATGCAATACAATATAATGCAATGTAATTAATATAATTCAATATAATATAACCATTATCAAATACATACATACATACATACATTCATTTGATATACTGTATATATATATATATTAGTTATTGACTGATATTATATTTTTTTTCATTTATTGTTTTTATGTCTGGTATATACAATATATATATATATATATATATATATATATATATATATACCAGACATAAAACCAATAAATAAATAAAAAATAGAATATCAGTCAATAACTAATACCGATATAGTGCATTTCAGTATATGTGCATTGCAAGTCAATGATAAACCCTATAAACTTTGTTAGAATAGTACAGTATATAACCAAAAAAAAGTATCCATGGAAAAGAGATTTGATTGTTGATGTTTCCTATTTAAAAAAGATTTTTGACATTATAAATATATGTACATTGGCCGGTTAATAGTTCAAGAGTCTAAAATCTTTTCTTGCACACACTCACGTCTCGTCTTGTGATAGCTCAGGTTCCACGCTGTATGTCGGTCTGTACATACAGTAAAGCAATTTGCTGAAATAGCATCAGGGTTGAGTTCCAGTCATATTTATCATGGTGTTACAATTATAGAGCACGATAAAGACCACCAACAAGACTCCTGGTAGTCTCACAAGAGACTAAATATAAGTGGTTTAACAGCAGATGCTGCTGGCCTGTGTAAAATAAGTCTACAGATGAGGCAATCATAGAGGAATCTCACACTGCCCCAGCATGAACTGGGAGTAGGTTGACGGTTCTGTGGAAGGTTGAGTATATTTCAGCATCCTGCCCTAAGGATGTCAGCGCACAAACCTGTCCAGACTTGGAAAGGCAAGGAGAGCAATAAAGTTCACAGAATATGAATATGACACGTGTAATATGCAAAAACAGTGGGACATTCAGTCTCAAATTAGCGACTTCTCAAAGCCCATCAATGCCACAGTTGCTTCAAATCCATTCACTGTCATCAGTAAGTGTTTGTGCTTTACTCATATTACAAGCACATTGAATATTGTGTTTCTCTCCATGGCAATCTTGTCTGAGAAGCCATTGTTGTGGTTGAGTGTTTCTTTAACTCTGCCGTAGGGAAACATCGACAAATATATCTCTTGACAGTCAAGTGTTTTTGCATCGGTTAATGTTGTATTACAGTGCCAAGCAGGGATGTGGTTCTTGGCACTGAAAGAGATGCTCTTTACGAGAACAAAATACAGTGACATTTCAGCTGCAACCAATGAGTGTGTGCCTGAATTAGGTAACATAATTTAATTTCCCAAGCAAATGTTCTCACAAAAAAAAAATTAACCTTTAAGAAATAGTGAAAAATATAGACTTATAAATGCATGTGAGTGCCTACCTGAGCTCTGCAAGGTATTTAGGTACACAGCACTCTGTCTTGCCTATGAAGACAAAACAACAACAGTCAGTTTTTCTTTCAATAAAAAGTATCAAGGACATGTAGCTTTTTTTTTTGACCATATTCTTGGAATTAACTTGTGAAATGAGTGGGTAATCATTTGGTATTCATTTTGGCATTGGTATTTTGTTTAAAATATACAAAAGCATCATGGTATTCCAATCTGATACCTTCACGGTTCCACACTCGTAACAATAAAGGTTCCAAAAGGGGGGTTTGATGTGATGCCATAGACAGAAAAACCATTATTTGGTTCTTCAAAAAAAAAACTTTCAGTGAAGAGTTCTTAAAATAATATTTTCTTAGATCATTTTAATAATCTAAATGACTTTTCCACTAAAATGAACCTTTTGTGCAATGGAAAGTGTCTTGGATGTTAAAGATCTTCATGGAACCACAAAAGGAAAACTTTTTATGTGCATGACAATGGACATGACAAATAAATGAAGTGAATAATAATACTAGACATGAATTAAGACTTAAACACAAGACACAGCCTTATTTGTAGCATTTTATTTGTTGTTGTTTTGATCCCAAAAACCAGCTGCCAGCCTTAGTAGGTTTTCACCCTAGAGGAAGGTTATTAAAGGTATCCGTTGCTTTACGACAGGAAAATGTCACAAAGACATGAGTTAATAGTGTGGAGGAGTTATGCTTTAGCAGTACTTCAGCTGAGATCAAAGAACACTTTCATGGCCATCAAGCCATTATGTGACTGCTACTCTGTGAGCTGGGTGATGAAGGGAATTGCATCACACTTTAGTTTTCTCTCATCCTCATTCCTCACTAAACTGCAATCAAACGATTGGACAGGACACTTGCAATAGAGGGTGTAAGTAGCTACAAATAAAATGCCTCAAACCTTTTTTCAAGTTTCAAACCTTCAGACTTGAACAACTAAGACAAAAAATATCAGCAAGTATATAGTAATAATAGTAAATTATGCATAATTGTATGCAACTAACTCTAAATCAAACTCTATTCCTATAAGTGCATGGTGATCATTGATCCTCAGTAATTAAATGTAAGCTATACTGTAACAAGGACATTAAAATAGTGCAATCGTGTTTTTTTTTATTAAGTATTGCCATAATGATGATAATAATAATAATAATAATAAATATAGGCCTAATAAAAGAAAAACTTATAACACCACATATTATGGGAACATGCGTGAAAATATGCATGCACGGCTATCATTACCTCGTGAATCGTGATTATTATTTAGATAAGTTACTTTAAATAGATTAAATTTAAAGGGGCAAAGTACACCTCAGACACACACACACACACACACACAAAACGAACAAAGACTGCATAATTCCTTCTGTAACAATCATACACTTTCACGTGATAAACGGCGTTAATGTACAGTGACGACGTCAAAAAAGAGTCATAATAACATGCAGGATCAAAATGTTAAACCTTTCGCGTGTCGACTTCCATTCTAACTACTCATTTAACAGAAGATAATTGTACAATCTCATTTTACAGACTAGTAAAAAATATCATTATAGTACACGTAGGCAAGCATGAAAAACAGCTTTTTGTCGCCGTCTGAACTCCTCTTTACTAAAACTAAGGAACGCGTGACGCGTCAATAAATAAATCAGTCAGTTTGACTGTTAGTCAGTTTGACTGTTTGAACTTATTAGTCATAGCAAACTGAGTTTACATACCTCGCCGTAGACACCAAAAGAGAAGCGAAATATAAAAGCGATAGAGAGAATCCCAGTGATATCCATCCTGTCATTGACCATTCATCCAGCACAACTGTCCCATCATCGCTCTCCGCGGGCATACGGGTAAAGTGGGACGCCTTCCCGCCTCAAAATGTTTATAAATATATGTTCCAGAAGAAGAAACATTGAAAATGATCAAATAGAACAAAACAATATTGTGTAAACTTATAAAAGTCCAACGACACGACTGACACCCCTTGCATGTGTAGGTCTGACTGAGGTTTGCGTTCACTGAGGTGAAGAAAACGCCGCTCCTGCCGCCTTCAGTACTACACATGATTATAGGACATATAAACATTTATGGAGCACAGTGCAGTGAGCGAGTGAGGCTATGGCAAGCCGTTTTAACAATTATTCCTATTAGCCTACTAGTACTTGGCTTTAATTGGTAATCTAAATGGTGACTATCTTTTAAAATTTCACAAGTCAGTAGGCCTGCTTGCCAATATAGGCCTATTGCTGACTTTTATTTAGATAAATAATAAATAAAATATTTAAAATTGCTTTAATGAAATAACATTGATAGATTATGCTAAGTAACTTGAGCCAATGTCCTACGATATGTCACTACTTCTGTCTCATTGTGTCATTTTAAAAGATTGTCAATCTACTTGTGAAAAAGTCATAATGGCACTTTAATGAGAAAGAAAAATCTCTTGCCAGTTACAGGACCTGATCTCGTGAGAAAATATGGGCCTAAATATTTTATGAGGCGTCGATTTCATATGAATTTTATAGGCTACACTGTGTAAAAAAAAAAAAAAAAAAAACTCAGAAAAGAAAAAAGCCATGAAATTTAGGGTAAAACCCACAAAAACTCTTGCCAGAAACTTAAAATAAAAAAAAATAAAAAATGAACAACCTATAATAATATGTTTTGTGCCTTTGTACAATGATAGCCAACAAAACCAGGTGGTGATGAGAAAGTCACATGATGAATCAAGCTCATCACAAGTTGAAAAGGTAATTACTAATAGCCAATATAAAAGGCAAAGTGTCATTCACACAATAGTAAACACCATCATGGTAACACATATGACACTAAAGAAATGGAATAAACATTAATGTAACATTTATGTTACATTAATGTTTGTCTGAAATCACTGATGATATGTCCAGGTGCACCAGACGGTGTATTAAAAAACCTAACAAAAACTAAATCATTACAGGATAAATTTTCATTCAGGAAAATTGAAAACATGTTCTGATATAAAATATTCAAGTTATCTGCGTTTTTGAATAACTCAGCAGACCCTTGAACAGCACCTCCGAAAATGCGCCTAAAGCTTCAACAGAAAACACAAGCCTTTTGCGGTCCCATGGCAAATATGAAACAGACAGACAAGGAATTCCTGTTCTTTTCCATAACTCCTGAAGCCTTCTTAACAAAGGGCAAAGGGCTTGTGTTGATAAGGTGGCTATTATTAACCACTAGGAAAAAATGATCTTTTAAATCTCCTGGGTTTTAAATATATTAAAAACAAGAGCCTCAATACACACAGGTGGTTGAGCTCACCGTGTCTTGCATTGTTCACCTGTGTACTCAAGCACTTCAATAGACCTCATTCCACATTGTTCACAATTCAACCAGCTTCAATAGAAGTTAGCAATACCTGAATCACTTACTCATAATTTAACAAAGATCAAAGGCTCCCTTTAACCACACCACAATAACACATTATTCATATTCTACTATACTTAAATTCATTGGTCTGTAGGACCAGTTGTGTCCAGATTTAAATTGGTCTATTACACAGATAAAATAACATTTGTTTCTTGCTAAAGAACACTAAAATTACATCATTACTTAAAATGCAAGTATTTATACATTTGATCAAAGCTAAAAAAACAAGTCATTTTATCAGGTATCAATACGCTAAAAAAACTAAACAAATGATAATAGCTGGATTGCTCTTATCTGATGCCCAGAGGTGTGGCTGCATTGCCTGGCATTCTGCCACACTCTGTTCAGGGGTTGTTAATCTGGTTTATTTACACTTAAGGAACTGGAGACTGTATATAACATCAAATGCCTAGTAAATATAACAGGCCGAGGTAATCATTACTTTGTACTATTTCAAATAAAATCTGAAGGGCATTTACATTGGTAACACCACTCTGCAGCACTGTAGCTGTTTCAGATCTAAAAGTATTTTGGGCTGTTCATTGTCACTTGATTAAAGTTCATCCAGTTGACAGCTGTTCAACAGCAGCAGATTTACAATGCCGTGATTGAGTAAGGTTTAGTCTAACAGCAGACAGCATTTCCTTTGGGGTCTAAACACATTACGCTGCAGACAACTGTAGATAATCAGTCTAAGGAAATGGTGGGCAGTGTTATCACAGGATGGCCATGGTTAAATTGCTACTAAACCAATTCATGATCACAAAGTTGAACAAAGTTTAAAATCAATCAAAACATGAAATATATCATTTGAATAGAAAGTGAATTATTTATAAGTGAATACATTTACAAATGAGTTATTTCATCTTTATTGTAGAGCTTTAATGGTCAAAACCAATTCACTTTGTCATGGCATGCAATGTAACATGATCCGGCACTGAGTACTTCTCCCTTGATCTCCAATTTCTGATAATTGAAAATGGCTGAGACTAATTATATTGTGGACAGCAAAAAACAGGAAGAAAAATAGTCAAATAAATAAATGGTCACAGCTCAGTTATGAAAAAAAAAACAATACCAAAAAGCAATACAATAACATTCAGATTATCTGAGGAAGTAATGTTGGCATGGTCAAACATTGATAACACAAAATTAAAGGGGGCATTTCAACCCCCAAAATAAAAAGTCTATCAACATTTACTCACCCTCATATCAAACCTGTACGACTTTCTTCTGTTGTGCACAAAAGATGACATGAGGGTAATTAAATGGTGACAGATTCTCAATTTTGGTTGAACTATCCCTTTAAGCATGTTAAGAGAACTGAGCTGCTTCTTGGGACGGCCAAGTGCAGTGACTGAAATGTTGTAATCACCAAAAGTACCTTCAAAACCTTGTGAATCCAGCTCATTTGCTTGGCGAGCATCCCAGTGACAGCTTCATTTGTTTTTTAGAAAACCTTTCCACACCCCGTTCTCATCAAATGGCTGGCGCAGTAATGCACTCAGACTAAAGTCCCCATCTATACAGCTCAGATAATAAAAGTGTCAATTCTGTGACAAATCTGTGTTACTAGTCCTAAATCTCACTGGCCAGGTTGGGAAATCGTTTTAATAAGATGTTGGCTTCCTTAGGCAAAAGTCGACCCTGAGTTCCCTGCTGTCCTTTGGCCTTGGTCTGCGCCTGTAAGAAACGAAATTAGAAAACAATGTTCATAAAAACAACTATTGCATGCATTTTAATTACTATTTTAATCTGCTCAACAAAGGCTTTAAGATAATTAATTCTAACTAACATTCAAGCTGTTGACTAGAGGGTAGAGATGCTAGCAGAAATATTATCTCGCTAGATGCGTGAGGATGCCAAAAACACGGAAACGAACTAAAGGTCTAGCAGGAAACTGCAATGAAAACTGGGAAATGTGTTCGCCATAACCAGGAAATGGCAGAGAAAATCTAGTTCTGCATTCATCCCAATTAGCCATTCCCATATATTCATCAAAACCATGTTAATTCAGGCCATTAAATTGTTGTCAGCTATCAGTAGGATGTTTTACAGAGGATTTCCTGAGGATTGTGAGTTACATGGCTGCAATACCTTTTCAACACATGTAAAGAAGGATGAGACTTCTTTAGAGCAGAGTGCATTGTTAAAGTCGTTCTGTTTCCAGCAAACCATCAGCGACGACATCTCCGTAACGCAGGTGGCCTCTGTAACAAAGAGATTATGTCACCATGTAAGGGTTTAGCAAAACAATACATTACAACAGGCCTTCAATGATGCCTTAAAAAAGGCCAACTAGCAACATGTGTATTTCCTGTCCCATTTCGGAAAGCAAAAATATTTTGTCATTTTGGTTTAGCCAATCAGATAATGTTTATTTTAATATGGAGACTGAGTGAGACCAAGTTAATTATAATTGCTAAATGTATATGCTAAGAAAGATTTAAAGGGGTCCTATTATGCTCTTTTACGAAGTCTTGATTTTGTTTTGGGGGTTTACTTGAATATGTTTCCATGTGTGCTTGTTCAAAAAACACATTATTTTTCACATATTTTACATTATTACAGGTCCTCTCTCCCCAGTCTGGTTGAATGCGTTGTTTTCGATGAAGCCCCTCCTTATGAAATCTGAAATGTCCTGTGATTGGAGCTTTCTAACCAGGAGCTCTACTCAGATGTAAATATTAACGATGACAACAATTTCAAAACAATTCAAGCTCTATTTAGACCCTGACAATGTTAACGAACAACATGATTGTGCTGAACGATTTAAAAACAATTTCACAGGACGTTCCAGAGTGGTATGTTGTTGTAATTTTCTTATAGATACAATGTTATCCACCATTTAATTATTTTTGTCAGAAAACTATGTTAAAACAATCAGTAATCGATCACAAAATCATGGATAATTTTGCTAAGAGGTGGTGAACAGTCTTACAGAAGCTAAAGTAAACTCTACATCAATACTGTAATGTTAGTTAGCAGGCAAGCGGAGGCAAAGCATTGCCCTTCATCTACATCATAGCTATGATAGCAACTACAAAAAGCTTTTAATTGGAACTGTTAATAGAAAACACAACAACAAAAAATAATAATACAAGCTGTGATCCATAAACAACAGATTGTGCAAACTAAATGGGAGTTTAGCATTTAACTCTCTTCTGGAGGCTGTTCTCCATAATGTTCAGGAAAAGAGTTAAAAAAAAATGTTTAGGATGAAATTTGTTGTAGTCATTAAAAAGCAATTTGTGTAAAGGAGAATATCTCCCTATGCATTGAACTTTGGGCGTCGTAACTTTGCAGATGTTTTTATGCTCAAACAGAAACATTACACACTAACTAAACACTTACTTCAGTTTATTAAATAATCCAGGACCCCTTTAAATAATAATACAAAACACTTTTTTAATTGAACTATTTCATGATTCATATTAAGTAAATGTATGAATAACTTCTATATTTTTATTAAAATTTTACGACGAACATCTGGACTCAAACTACTGGACTGAACTGAAACTTTATTTCTTAAATCACCATTATTAAAAAACAACATTATATACTGCCCTTACAGTTAAAACTACAGAGCTTTTATCATTAAACTAAACATTTTTATTAATATTTTAAGATGTAGTCTACATCTGGACTCAAACTAGTGGACTGAACTGAAACCTGTTTCTTAATCACCATATTTACCATACTACATACTGCCCCCACAATTAAAACTACAGAGCTTTTATCATTAAACTAAGCATTTCAATATATTACTATGATATATTGGGAGATATATAGCGTGACAACTGATGTATACATTTTATGAAAATGCTACACTGCTATACAAAATCTTGTTGGTATATGAGATATTAGGTTTATATTTTTTTCCTATTCAAACGTGCATGTGCTCCATATTCTCACTATATAAAGCCTGATGTATCAAATATGATACAAGATAAAACACATGTTATGCAAACTTCTTTTTCACTTTTTTAAAATATTTTGTATAAAGGGTAAAAAAGGGTTCCATTTAAAAAAAATAGATGATTATTATAATTAATACATATGCATTTACAAGTATTATTCACAACAAGTATTAACTTCGGGATATGAATTAGGGCTGAACGATTTTGGAAAATAATCTAATTGCGATTTTTTTTACCAATATTGCGATTGCGATTTAATATGCGATTTAAAAAAAAAAGTTATTTACCTTCTGTATTAGTCGACAAAGACAAGCAATAAATCATTGTACAGTGGGAATAGGAATCCTTAGATAGCTCATGATCCGATCTACTTTTTTTCTTATTAATTAATCTTAATAACTCTTAAAATATGTATTTAATTACATGTGTAAAAACACATTCTTTAAAAAACAATTATAAAAAAAACCCATTTAATTAAACCAATTACATGTTAAGAATTTTAAATAGGCTATATAAAATAATATAGCTTCAAAATATAAAAGCTAGTAAATAAAGAGAAACAAAAAAAAACATTACAAGCAATAAACAAAGAGTGGTCTCAGTATTTAAAAGTAGGCTGTCTGAATGTTTTTCATTCAAGAGCTAGAGTGATTCCCTCAGTTTAGATACGATAAGCTGCATTCACACTAATGCATATATCTCTTTTGAAATTGTAAAAGTGGTTTGTCCTGTGGGTTTAAGAACTGACCGTGTTTGCATTAATTTCGCGTCATAAAAGCATTTTGACATGCAAGTACATTTACCAATGAGTCGCTCACGGCCGCATGCACGAGCGCTCTTCACAAAGCACGCGTTAGTATTTTAAAATGAAAGCAGCCTTCACTGTGATTTTCATGGTTTTAATATACAAGCCAACTGCATTCCAAAAGACATAAATAATGCCTCTGTGAAGCGTTTGTAAAGAAAATTCCCGCGGGAGAGAACGCACTGCAAGAGCAACGTTATAACATCAAGCAAAGCGGCAAAACCTGTTCAATGAAGCCCGCGAATGTCCTTGTAATTCGGCTCAATCCCGAACTTTATGAAATAACGTTACTATATTTTTGGAAGGTTCGAGCGGTGTCGTGTGTGTGAGTGAGGAAGAGAGAGAGTGAGAAAATAGAAGCAAGCAGATTCAGAACACCGTTCGTTTCTAAAGCACGCGCAGCGTCATCACGCATCTGTGTTTAAAAACTAAGCTCAGACTCGATTCTGAAATTCTCTGAATCCAAGATTGTTGAGGAGAGGAGAGAATAAATAACACAATATCACATACATTAAAAATAAACTGTTCTTTTCTGAACGCCAGACCGCGTAGCGTGGCAAGTTGATACTTTATCTTGCAGACTGCTTTTCTCTCGCGTGTCACGTGACCAGTGTAATCGCAGCTCTTGCGATTACAAAATCGCGTTTCATCATATCGCGATTTTATCGCAAATGCAATTAATCGTTCAGCCCTAATATGAATAACGTTATGCAACCGAATAAACAAAACGTGAGGAGAGGACAGTCATACCCGTTTAGTGCACATCCATTGAACTAAAGGACTAACAGACATCTCAGAGTTTATGTGACGTTACACATATGTTAAATGAAAAAGTCCTAACCTCCTTTCTTCGGCTTGCGGATAGCGACCTCATTCTTAAGAGCCAGAGGTTTGACGGCTTTCATTGCGGGTTTCCCACTCTGCTTGCTCAACAGCCTGGCAACCTTCTCTTGAATCCCAGATCCACTCATGGCCGTTCTATAATGTCTTCTCTCGACACGGTTAAAAAAATGTTTTCAAAATAAGACTGAAATGTAGCCTACAAATATAACAGTTCTAATGATAAACTTAAATGTCATTGCCGACTACTTCTTACTTTTCGTCCTTACTGTCTATGTGTGTAAGTCGCCATTTTGTGTCGGAAAGCGTTCTCGACTTGTTTTCATGGTTACCGCTGCTGACACTGTCGTAAAAGTATCATTGGCTTCTTTTCATGGCTGTCATCTATCTAACAAACTTCCGTTCAAGCTTGCTAATTTTCATAAGCAAGCCTTGGAGGCCTGTAAGCTTGCCTTTTGCCACAATTTTTCCCCTCATAGGAGCATTCTATGGAATAATCAGTATGTGCTGCGTGGAAAAAAATCTATCTTTATTAAGGATTGGGTTGACAAAGGTGTTATTTTTGTTTTGGATTTGTTTAAGAAGGATGGCAGCTTTTATTCCTATAATGAATTTATCAATCTTTTTGGAGTGAATTCCTCACCTGCAGTTTATAACGGGGTTATTAATTCTATTTCTCCTAAACTTTTGCATATGGTTAGGTCATACTGTAGCTACAGAGCATCCGTTTGTGAAATGCCCCAGTTATCTATTGGAGGTTTGGAGATTTCCAATGGCAAATGTAACAATTTTTGGATTAGAAGATTTCTTATTAGGAAGATCAGCTGTCATCCCAAAGCCTTTTTCAAATGGAAATTAAATTATCCTTCTCTTTCTACCATTAATACATGGACTGGCATTAATAGGTTTCTGTTACCTAACAAGTGGAAGGAGCTTCACTTTAAAATTTTACAAAATTACTATCCCTGTAACTCTCTTCTTTCTAAATTTAAGTTGGACGTCTCTTCACACTGCACATTCTGTAATTCTTACCTTGAAACAATACCACATTTGTTTTTTGAATGTGATTATGTAAAGGAGTTTTGGAAAAGAGTAGCCTGGCTTATTTTTTCTGCTTATTACAAACTCTTTACTTTTGAGGTTATTAATGTGTTGTTTTTGACTTGGGACTCGGGGTCAAAGGAGATGGATGACAGATTAAAGCTGCTTACTTTATGCGGTGAATTTCATCTTCATAAATGTAAAGTAACTGAATCTAAGCCCAACTTTCAACTTTTTTGTGTTGATTTAAAATTATTTTACGACTCTCTTTGTTTATCAGCTAATAAGAAAGCTGCTAAAACTACTTTGTTGCTTAAAAAAATTATGGTTTCTTTGTAAATCACCTCCTGTATTGATGTGCTTGTTTCGTGATCTTTTTTTGTTTGTTTTTTTGTTTATTGAACGGTCCCTTTTGTACTGCCTTGCTTACGTCGTCTTTGTGCATAATGTTTTTTTTTTTTTTTTTTTTTTTTATTTCATCTATTTTTCTACTTGATGTATCCCCTGTGCTTTGTGTTCAATAAAAAATAAAAAAAAAATAAAAATAAAAAAATCTAATACTTGAATCATCCGTAGAAAACAGGAAGTGGAAGCACCGCTTGTGCGCCTGTCACAGAATAAAAGTCTTTATCGCAAAAAAAAAAAAAAAAAAAAAAAAAATGGCTGTCATCTATGGCTGTCATACAACCACAGATTGTTCACTGTTCATACAGTATTTGTACATAAAGTTATGTCAACCGCGAAAATTATAAATAAAGCAGAAGATATTTTTGCACTTCAAATATTATGAGAAATGTTTATTGGCAGCAATTTATATTTTTATATCAGTTGATTTTTGTAACATTTGAAAAACGAATTTAATCAATACACTAATCCATGGCCAATTAACGTACACTGGGGAATGCAGGTAAGTGGTGAAATCTAGTGAAATTTTGAGTTGTTTCTAAAGTGTTCTGGCTTGTTCACCTGGAATTTGGGTTAGGGTTCAACTCATGAATATAATTAAGGATTAACTCTCCTTTTAACAAGAACTGGACATGTGCTTAATTGTAAACATCAGGACAGGATGCCTTTAGGTGAGGCAGGTTTTCCAATAAAAGTTTTACTCAGGATATAATAACAGCAGGGTCTTGTGAGAGCACAAGGCAACCCAACTAACTTGATTTTTACTTTTAACTAAGTTAAAACCTAGTGTACTTTACAATACAAACATGTAAACAACATTTATATCTTTAAATTTCCAGTACTCTAATTGACAATTAAATTTTTAAGTACTTTTTGAACAAAATCCCTATTTCTCTATTTAAGACAAACCAAAGTTTTCCTTTCATCCATAGGGCATTCAGATTTATATTAAGTTGATTCAGAAACGTTTTCACATGGATTTGACCTATGAAACACCACAAAAATGCTTCCTGATCCTGTTAATTGCAGCTTACATGAAAAGTACTCCACTCTTAATTAATGAGGCCTATCAAACAGAAACTCCCTTCTTATGCAGCTCAGTTATAAACAAGCAGAGACAAAGTTTCAATGGTTATGTTGTTTTTTTTGCTCTTCCTTGCTGTAAAATCAGACCACAAATTTAATTTAAGAATTGGCTAACTATAAATCATGCCATCGTGGAGAGATACAATTTGTGTGTGAAGGTTTCTATCCAATTTTTATGATATTTTGTCACTATTTTTTTTTTTTTTTTTTAAATAAATCTATTTGGGTAATTTTTCACCTGTTTTTCCCCACCACGGTTTCTTCAGGGTACTTAAACAGACGATGAACTGGTCCATGCATTCCAGTAAATGGCAGCTTGTACTCAGATCTGTTCTGGTATTCTGTGTCTCTGCTTGTTTGTATCAGGGCTACCTACTACTAGTTTTCAGCCCATGAGTTATCATTTAACATTTTTATTAAATTGAATTGCATTTAAGTGTAAGAGTAAGTGTAGCTCCAAGCTGATTTCAGCCGTAGTGTTTTTTTTTTTGTCTGTATCGGGTTTTCATGTGCCAGCAGAATAGGTTGACATGGACAATCCCTAAGAAACAAAGACTGCCCCTCCATGAACTCTGACCTGTCCTGCTCCTGTTTGCTTGACTGAGCTAAATTCAATGGCCTGAACGCAGTTTTTCCAATGAAGTTTTCTCTTCTTCTTTTTGGTGAGGTTGGGTTTTCTCTGCTCTCAATTATAAATCATTCCCCAGAACAATTTATTTCAAACTTCATTCAACAAGCCTGACAACATAGCTTTTTTCTCTAGAGCTATTGGACTAGTTGGTTTTGTATCAGGACTTTGTGTCTTTTGCTCTTTAAGGAAAATACCTCTCATCGAATTGCCTTTAGAAAAAGTTAGTGAGTTAGTCTAGAGTATATTTTTACACCATGAAATACTTTTGTAAAATCTAAACTGTAAATGTACAAATAGGGCCCTTATAAACTAAATTTCAAACAAATTTCCATTTGAATCTTTCTCTACTTTTCTCAACCAAGAATTCAATTTAAACATTTGTCTCACATTACCATGTTTCCCTTTCTATTTTCCTCTTTTTAGTCAGCTTTGCTTGCCCAACAAGTGTTACACTGAACAAACATACCAGACCAACTGAGGTCATGACATTCTGCTCCCTCATTGTTGCACTGAGTATTTGTGCCGGTACCTACTGCTTGGTAAGGTGACCCTGTAACCTGTAAGAATGCAGCTATATCTCTTTTGAGACCCTCTTTCATTACATGATCCCACCAAAAATCTTAACCACATTAATTATAACATATTGGCATGTTTGAAGAAGGACTCTGGTGATTGTTTAATCCAAGCCTATGAGTCAAGTCAAAGTGATAATGTAACACATGTTTCTCATATATTCAGTGATATTAAAAAGAATATCAAGGTTACTGTAGGATTCTTGCTATTAAAGTTTCTTGACTATAATTCGATAATAACCGCTCACTCTAATTTTAGAATGAGTTTAATGGTTGTCAGCGGCTGTGTAACATGATATGAAGGAAGAATGGAATTAGGCTTAATATAATATCATTAAACTCTGCATAACTTAGTCAGGGGAAAAGGAATTAACAAACACTTTAAGGCTTAAGTTTTATTTGCCCACAGAGGAATGAAACAAAGTTAAGTAATCATTTTCTGCTTGAATTTTGATTAAAAAAAAAATAAAAAAAACTGTGACCCACGTGCAATAGTTTACTAAATAAGTCTGATAATATTTGTATCTGTCTTTCTCCTAATTATTTCCTGATTTATTTCAATTTCTCTTAGTTAATGTGCCAGGTTCCTTTGACCGTAATGCTCAGTTTTGGTTTCATTTTCATTGTGATTAAGATTTGCCTGCCTTAGTTATTATTATTTTATTATTAGTTATTACTATTCTTTTGATCTTCGTCATCCTCCTTCATCTTCGGACCCATAGCATGACATATCATCCAGCCTGCTGTTAATTTCTAATTTATTATAATCAGATTTTATATATTTATCCCTATACCTTTTTTTAATCAAATGGGTTTCATAAATATAGTCTTCTATATTCAATGTTATGATAATGGGAGACATCCCCGAGGGAGTAGAAGCCTCCTGACTGTATGAATATGATGAATTTTTGATGAGATGTCATGGTGTGGGTCTTTTTTCTCAGATGGCACATAGTGGCACAGACATGGGGGTTCTCTGTCCAGACCCCCTAGAACACAGCCATGACACCCCATCTGCCAAAAACAAGACATTCAGGGGCTCAGAGACATGCACTCAAACATGATATGAAAACTACATGTAAATACATTGATATTACTTAAGTACACTACATAAAGAGGGCTGTTAGCATCTCTGAGGTATTAATTTAACTATCTCTCTTGCAAATGTGTGTTCTTATTGTCCCAATGATTCATTAATTTAATTATCCCATGCATTTAATTTCACACTTGAACAGTAAACAGACTTTGTGAGACAATGTGGCTAAGAAGATATTGAGGGTTTGTCCATGGGGAATAGACAAAAATGAAAAAGGACAAAAGCGTGTCTGTGTTAGTAATAGAGTGAGAGAGAGAAACTGTCTGGTCTCTCTGTGGACTGTCTGGAATTGTGAATTGATTAATGCAAGGCAGTTCCATTAGCTAATGAAGTCTGTCTGGTCAACAGTGCATTCTGTAGAGCAATTACTTCACCTCTGTCATGCATCTTTTGACTTTGTTCCTTCACAATATTGTCTCAGTGATTGGTATGATTTATTTGTTTTAATTAAGTGTTGCTATTGGATATCATTATGACCAATAGCC